GCATCGATTCAGCCGAAGCTCATGGGACCTATTTTCTCTTATAGCTGTTCCTGGCGCTTTCATCACCTCTATCTTGGATATTGCTTACAATCAAAGACATGCCGTGGTTGAGCTCAACAAGCTCTTCCTCGTGTCCGTTGCTTTGCTGCTTATTCCACGAAACAACCAGCTTGACCAGCTCTTCAAGACAGCTGCAGCCAGTCTTTCTGTGATTGGCAATCTTCTGGCCACCTGGTTCGTGCTGTTCTTGGTGTATGGCATTGCGATGAACCAAGCATTTGGCCTTACCAAGTTTGGCGAAAACGAGGATCACAACATCAATTTCCGCGATGTGCCCAAGTCTCTCATTTTGCTATTTCGAGCCAGTTGTGGAGAGGGTTGGAACGAACTCATGGAGGACTTTGCTACCATGGCCCCGCCCTTTTGCACATACGACTCCAACTTCCTCGACGATGACTGCGGAAGTCCGGGATGGGCCCGGTCTCTCTTCATCTCCTGGAACTTGATCAGTATGTATATCTTTGTCTCGCTGTTTGTCTCTCTTATCTTCGAGAGTTTCTCCTATGTCTACCAGCGGAGCAGCGGGCTATACGCGATTAGTCGCGAGGAGATTCGCCGATTCAAGCAGGCGTGGGCCACGTACGATCCAGATGGAACTGGGTTTATCTCAAAGGAGCAGTTCCCTCGCCTTCTGGGAGAATTGTCTGGTGTCTTTGCAACACGGATTTACGAGGGTGAGTTCTCGGTTGGGAGCATCCTTGAACGATGCCGAGTCGAGCCTCACAGAAACTCAATGGCTTCGCTTGCAAGAAATTCGATGGTTTCGTTGCATGAGTCACGGCCGCCTATTCGACCAACCTCGCGTGTCGCGGCCGGTGTGGATCTCGACGAGCTTTCTCGGATCATATCAAAAATCCCCGTGCAAACTATCCGAGAAAGGCGTGAGCGGTTGAATACTTTCTACGAAGAAGTTCTGGTATCAGCGGACCCTGATCGCGGCATCTCCTTCCACCAGTGCCTGATGATTCTCGCTCATCACAATGTGATCAGTGACAGCAAGAGTTTACGTTTAGAAGAATTCTTGCGCCGCCGGGCACGGTTGCAGCGTGTGGAGGAGGCTGTCCGTCGAAACACCGTCGTCGGCTTTTTTGATACCCTGTACTGGTCTCGTCAATTCCGTCGCCAGGTTGAGCGCAAGAAGTCTGGCCGGATGAGCATGATCCCAACATTCACCGTGCCCGAGATCTTTGTCGATGACCCAGTCGACGAGCATGACGAGCACGATGAACCCGGTTCTGGAGCAATGACCCCACAAACCCAACCAGAATTTGATACCAATATCACCCCCATGCTCTCGCCGGTCTCTCTCCACCGACGAGCAGAGTCCAGCCCGGCAGCGCGCCACGGAACTCTGCCTCGCATCGACACCAATTTGATCGGGCGAGCGTCTGGAGCCAGCACGCCAACGAGGGATTGGTCAAGCATCAGCCCCTCCCGCACTCCGCAGCACATGTATGGGGATCGCGTCTCATTCGACACTCACGAAACGCTCGAGTCTTCTTCTGTCACGCGTTCGCGTCAGAATAGCATCATGAATGTTCAAGGAGTTATGAATTCGTTGGATAACTCCGCCTGGGGCGAGAGTCTCCGGCGAAGTTTCACGCAACGGCGACCCGGCGACCGATCGTCTGATTAGAATATTGGGTATGATGATCCATGGAAATGTTGATGTTTTCACGAAATGAGTAGATTGGAGCGGTATAGATGTATTGGATGAAGGGTTTTGGTTTTTGAACATTCTTTTTGGCATCCCCTTTGGATACACTGGGGCTTTTCCTCTCTGTGGCGCTTTTTTCTTTCTCCAACTATGGTTTTCTTGCTGTATACTACTCCCCTTGGGAGATTTTTGCATGGCAGCGGCGTGAGATCCCATGCTTTTATATTATGAAGCCCTTAGAACTACACTATTGACTATCATTATATCACTATATTATTCTTGGTATGTATGAAAATCGTGGACTTGCATGGCTGAGTCAAGTGGGTCGGACTAGTTAATATTGGATATTGAAATCGCCCAAAGAGGCAATAGTTGACAGGAGCATCATTTCTCAAGCAATTGTTAATATTCTCTCTCTCTAAGGAGACAATCGCATTCATAGACTAATCCGAAGGAAATCCATATGGAAATCCACATGGAAACTCCGTCTGGTTCCCGTTTGCAGGGACAATTGCATTCATCCGCATGCGTCGGCCGCGTTCAATCCGTGTCTCAACTCTCCCTGCAGCACAGTCCTTGCAGTCAATTTCGACCTGACATTCATAAATTCCAAGAGATTCCCAACTTCTTCTCGACTCCAAGTACCTCCTGAAACCACCTCTCGTTCTATTATGACATAGGCACATAGCCACATCGCTATCTCCGAAAAGCCTCACATTCCACAAAACCAACCACGAGATGCACCACCTACCGTCGCCCTTCCTCGCACTGAGCACATCCTTCCGCCGCTCCCGTGACTCCAAATCACCAGGCAGCGAAGCCTCAAGCCCACCAAGCTCAACCACCACATCGCCACCCTCCTCTCCAACCTCCCTGCGACACTCGCCACCACACAGCTCCCCCCACCACCTCTTCAACCTCTCCTTCCACCCCTCCAAATCACACACACACACCTTCCGCGATCCTCACTCAGACGAGAAATCACCAGTCCACACCTCGCACCCACACCCCACCTCCGACATTCCGCTCCACAATGCAGCCCACAATACCACCGGCGTGAGCGTGCTACCCTGTGCAGTCCTGCGGGGTCGTTCGTCGATGATGGTTGTACGTCGCCGACCCTCTGCCATCGATATGGCGCTGAGCGAGGAGCGATCGCGTTGTGATGGGGATTCCATTGAGCGGCAGGGGTTGGGATTGATGGAGCCGCGGCCGGTGGATCTGCAGGGGCGGGTCGGGGAGGTACAGCCCCGTTTTGTCATGGGTGGCATCTTTGAGGTTATGGAGGGCCGCGCTTGATCTTCTTTTCTTTTTATTTCTCTTGAAGTTGTGATACTCTATCCTGTTTGATCTTACTTTTAATTCTTTTTGCTCTTATCTTATTTTGCGGAAGTGAATATGGCATCTTGTTGGGGTTCCGGAGTTAGGGGTTCCGCTTGCGGACAAGAATGTGAGATAGAACGTTGTATAGTGGCTTGTTACTGGAAATATATGACAAAGACTGTATTTTTTTTTTAACTATGATACAAGGTTTGAGCCCTTGCTGCTAATGGCTGCCCAATATACCTATATTTAATGGTTTGTCTGCCTAGTTGTGTTCTCGTGGCTTACCGGTGTACGTATATATATACCTTGCCTGTGCCTATGCGATTGGATAGGCACTAGTGAGACAGCACAATGAGATAGCTAGGCCGTTTGAAAATCAAGTCTCTGCTAGTTTATTCATTCATTCCAATGAAGACACTTCTTAGAATGGGATATTTTCGATCGTATAACAGCACTCCCAAACGGTGCCATTCCTACCAGTATGACCATAATGAGATGCCATGTAATGTATTTTTATACGCTAAGTGCGCACAGCAAGGTAGGATGGGTCTTCAAATCTAGTATAGTTCATTCTTCAGTTCTCTAAAAAAATGCTACTGTTGTATACTTTGTCGAGCTTCAGCGCAGGTCTCCTGTTCGTATGTCTCGTCTCGAACGCTGTGGCCCGACGTACCCAAAGATCAAGCTTTTCGGATTAATAATAACATTGCCAAAGTTCACCTGAATATTTCCTTTCCATATAAACTAATATTTTATGTACCTACTTGGCTTAGTCTAATAGCCAAGGCGGGCCTTACTTCTATACCGGAGGGGCCATCTCATCTTCGGCTCTATGTATACCGAGGAGACGTTGTTGCGTTATGCAGACCCTTCATGACATATAACGGCCAAATCTTCGTCCTAGGGGGTAAGTATTTTACTACTGGCCCGTTGAAGCAGTTATCAGCAACTATGCATTGCTTTGATATAAAGTCGGGTAGCGAACCACGGTACTACCCTAAGACCACGGTGGTGCATAGGGGTACATCACCCCCACCTCCAGGTGCTTACACGGCTTACGTGCTGTACTTATTCCGGTAAGCATATATAGGGATTGGGTTGTCTAATTGTATGAAACGGTATATGATTCACCACGTTTTGATATGAAAGGCCGCAGTAACATCAAATATGGCCTTTGTACAACCGGTCAATAGCCAGTGCCTTACTAACCATTAATGCGGTCCGGACCCTTTGATATGCTTGATAATCTAACGCAAGTGGATGTTTTTATACTGGTTGACCACTTCTCACCGGCTGGCTTCACCATGCCCGGTGGCTTGATTATGTCCGTTGAATTCATCCCGCCCGTTGGCTGCTTCCCGCCGGTTGGTTGCTTCCCGCCGGTTTATTTCTTTGATAGGTTGGTGCCATTGACCGGTTGGCCATAGATATAGTCGGGTAACGCTGTCTCCTTGTATTCAGAGCTGTCAGGGCTGCTGGCGGGCTATCTATAACGCATGTAGATGTGCTTTCATATCCCACCCCAAGGCACTCCCGGGGCTGCCTAACTCACCGGTTGACGGGAGGTTTAACGGTAGCAGATGCCATCCCCGTCGACACATATTCCATGCCTATCGGTAGACGATATTTTCGATTCTATAAGTAAAGCGAGAGTGCAAATTTTCTAGCTTGGTTGTGAAGTAATAGATGTGGTATTTGATATTTGCATTTCTAATCGTACATATTCACCGAAGTTATGGGCTCAAACATAAGCGGCAGGAAAGGGATTCCAAGGCAAAAACGCCGTAGATGCCCCTTAGATGCCTAATCAGACAAGTAATGCTATTCGTACAGTATTCTGATCATCAGGGTCATTCAATGCTATGTATCGTGAGTGAAAAAAAACCGAATCGCTTAACGCCGAGAATGCGAGAATGAAATATCGCGAGACGATAGGCAGTTTGAGGGCATGATCCCCTTAAGGCTTGGTGTTTTGGCTTTTGCGTTTGTTGGGCCAGAGCTGCCCGCGGCAGTTGGTCTCTCCACAGAGGCATCGGACCGCCTCAGGTTCCAGCTTCTTCCGTCCCATGCCGTCTTCGGAACTGTTATCGCTGTCGTCACTGTCGTCGCTCTCCTCGGACACCGGGTTGTAATCGAAGGTCAGTTCGGTGCCGGCGGGAATGTCCCGAAGGGCGAAAAATGCAAGGGTGTACACTTTGTTATCGGCGTGGGAGGTAGTCTGCACCGGAATAATCTTGCAGTTGGGGTTGCAAGAATGATTGATGAAGCGAGTAACCGATCCAAACTTGCGCCCATCAATGACATTCATTTGTTCCTCGCTGTCATCGTCGTCGACATACCAGTCCAACGAGAAGAGGTATGATTGGTTGTGGGACCCTTCAGTAAGGTTCTCACGGTCATCGGCCTCGTCCTTAGTGATAACTTCGCCAAGGTAACGATCGATGAACTGTCCGGTAACAATCGGGTCAGGTGAACGGAGGCCTAAGCCAATTATTGTTAGTATACATAGGACGAAATAAAAGAGTTCAAGATAGGTCTTACCAAAACCTCGTGATCCGGCGTCAAAAATTTGAAGCTGAACGGTCCTTCCCTTCTGGACGACGTGGTTCCAGCATCCCTTACCATTGCAACCGCAGAGTGAGTTGCACTCCATAATCATAGCCTTACGGCTAAGGAACTCACGGGACGCCACAATTAACTTAGGGTCGGCGGAAGAAATCCCATAAGGAACGATTCGGTCTTCGCTATCCTTTTCTTGATCTAGACAGCCACATGAGGAAGTGTCACAGCTCCCAACGCAGGCACAGCCATAATTGTATTCTTTCTGAACGCGAACGACACCTGGGCGGTCAATGTAATCATTCGTGAATTCAAAGTTGTCGGCTAGCTTGGCAAGAAGTTTGGGGCTTTGCACTGCAGTGGTGACTGGTGGCCCATTGATTTGGCCGAGCTTCTTCTCAAGATTAGCTCGGATATCGGTAAGGTGCTGTTTCGAGGTAGTGGGTGAGAGGTTAAGTGGTTTGTTTGTTTTAGAGATGAAGGACAACGGGGTAGAACGGCGGTCGATTGGTGCCCGCGACTTAGGGTATGCTGCCTGAGCGACTCTCCGTTCTTCTGCGTCTATTGGGAAGATCTGCTCATTTGTTCCCTTAATTGCGTTCCGCTCCGCCACAGCATTCAGTCGCTTTTGAGTTGAAGTTGGCGAAGGAATCACCACGCTGAATTGCGACTGAGACTTGGGCATAGGTGGAGGGGTGGGTGTAGTGGGGTGAGCATGCGAGACGCGAGGTACCCGGTGCAGAAATTTGTGCGGGACATCACTGTCAGAAGCATCAGACTGCTCAGAGCTTGCTAGGCTTTTTCTCTTTGTTGGCAGTACTGGCATCCGGTGAGTTAGGGTGGCGGCTAAAGGTGCTTCAGAAATTGCATCTTCTTTAAGCTGGTTGATAGCATTTGTGCCAGGCTAGAAGCGGGTGTTAGCAAATGATCAAAACAGACGGCCTTATTTTCGCGAAGTCGATACGTGTAACGAGTGTCTTTGTTAAGATATCAAAAACTCTTGGCAGGACGGCGGGATATGTGGGGCAGAACAAAGACAAAGGGGCTTAGGACACAAAAAGGAGAAGCACTTACTGCAATGTTTTCGGTCTCATTCTCATTGTCCCCAGTCAGGTCAATGATCACCTGGTGATTAGCCGGTTGGCCAAACGGTGTGCGAGACGACATCCCGATCTCTCGAGCCCGAGAACAGGGCTGATGATAGGCCCAAAAAAGGGACAGAGACGCGTCGGGAGAAGCCCGAAAAACGATTAACGAGAGGTCCTTCCAGGCAGCAAAGGGAATAGAATAGTTGGAAGTGCAAAGTTAGAGAAACCGAGAGTTCGAAGCGTGGGGATCCTAGGCCTAGGCCAAGTATCAAACGATAGGGTAAAATTCACGCCCGGGGACGCGTAAAAATGGGCAGGTCAGAAGCTTCACGACCTTCCGGTTAAAATAAAGCAACGTTGAAGGAAATAGGACGTTTTGGTGGGATGGGAGAGAGAAAAGAAGTTTGAGGGGGTTTGAGGGTTGAAGAGGTGAAGGTTTGACGAGTCGACGGATTGATATCGCCGGCTACGGGAGACCCACCTGAATCAGCATTCCTACTAGACCCTACCCTAGCTACTAAAAGCCTCACAATAAGCTTAAATTTTGATTTAGTTTAATAGAATTTTCATTATTGAATAATAGACCAATTAAATAAGCAAAATATTCAAAAATTTCCCTCAAATCTCGAAGTTGTGGTGCCAGAGCTGGCGAGGGCCATTTTAGTTGCCGGTTTTTGATTGGGCCACAAGGGTGTCAAAAACGTGGGGACGGATTCCCCCCGAAAAGATAACAAAAAGGTGCCCATGGCCTCCTGCGGATTGTATTGATTGTCTGGTCACAACAGTAGACCTGGCTGTGACCCTCAAGAGGATCCGGACCCGGGACCCTCAATTTTACATAAACGTGTATAAATCATGATTTATAAGCTGGTTATTTCCTATTTAGGGTGGTTTATGCATGCATAATTTTCTTGGTGAGTTCAAATGGAGGGTCGCAGCCAGGTCTACGTGACAAACAGGCCACCAGCAAGCCTAAAAGGAGATCGAAATACAGAGTCAGGCGCCCGCGACCGATGGTACTAATTTTCATTGAAATAACCCTCGTCATTAAAAGCCTAAGAGAGGTTGAAGTTTAGATAACCGGAGCGGCGAGATCTTTCAAGGAGATTCTTGGCACACGATCACGTGAAATAGCGGAACCAATCACCATCGCGATATATCTATTACTCAGTATATTATATCGATTCTTTCCGGATTTAATTTGAATTCAAAAAATGTAGCTTTTCAGTTCCTCTCCTAAAATACTTTCAAATTCTTGAAAACTGCCAAAACAGTCGTTTGAGGACGAAAAGAGGAATTAATTTTTGGTCACGTGACATACGCAAGATTAGTAATGAAAAATGAGGTCATTAGCTGCGTTCTTTATAAAGGCTCTGGACGCCCTGAGAAAAGGAATAGGGTATAGCACTATAGTGCTATACCCTATTCCTACGCGCTGTTCGCGTAGGGAGTGCAGGTCAAACCTCTTTCACCTAATAACTCGAAGCTCTAAGATATAAAAGAATAAATTTCAACTGTATTCCCATTGAAATAATCTATCCTAACGATTTAGACAATCATTGGTATTGAGATCTACTGGCGTGGTTGCTTTCCGGCCTAGATACACTGACTGGTGTTGGTGTGTCCGGCCAAGGGACGCGGTCAACTGGACGGTGCAAATTCTCGCGCGCCCCCCCTTCTGCCCGGCGGCCCCCGCGGTGCTCACTGGCGGTACTCCCCGGCGGTACTCCCCCAATGATATACAGTGTGGTCCCTAGGCGTGCCTACAGCAACTTTTCTTTTGGGCCCCGACGGGTAGGTATTCCACGCCCGAATGTGAGTGTTTCTGTCTCCGTGGTTCAACAAATCTCGTGCCATTCATTTTAAGCTTACGTATGTTCACTTCGGATCTTAGAGTTCGTTGGGATTGTATTCGACTTATTTTGGTACTTAAGAGACATTGTCATGGTGCATAGACAATAGAAATGGCAGTTGACCTATATTAACGGTCTAGGACAATTCGCTGTTGATTGACTAGGACAGTTACTAACTTACCTATAATATTTCACAAATGCCAGGTTGGGGTTCTCTTAATTTCCGGCTCGAATTTTGTAGAGGCCCTAGGGCCAAATCTTGTCCGTCCTAGAGCCTGTCTACCACTTTCCTTATATCAACCTCGCCTAGTCATAAAGTCATAAAACAGCCTCCTACTTATTATCGGAACCACGCGTGTCTACAAATTGTGGAAAAAAGCCTTGAAGCCGTAAAACGTATGCAACCATTTGTACCGGTAGCGACGACATAAACTTTATGATCAATGTTCAAAAAGGCACCACACCGTCCCCCGAAGCCTGATAACAACCAACAGATGACATGGATGAACAAGGAAAAACGCTAGCATCCACAAATTCTTTTTGACTCAAGTCTAATATCCACCATGAAGACCGAAGAGCAGATCTGGGTCAACGAGTATCGGAATAGGTGAGCAGTAAGTGCAAAACACAAAACACAACATAAAACACAAACAGGGCTAATGAAGATAAATGACCTCTCCATAAAAAAATGGTAAAGGGGAAAAGGGAAAGCTAGACATGCAATAATAACAGGACAAAGCTAACGAATGCTCGTGCGGATGCGTCATGGATGGATGTAAGAAAAAATAAATCGACAAGAGGGTGTCAGAAGCACAGATACAGTCTCATCAAGCAATGCGATCTTCAGCCGAGGAATCTATACCAGATAGAACCGGCTACAGCCTCAATGCATCGAGAATCTTCTTCGCCATCTCGCGGTATTGCCACATGCCGCCAGAAACCTTCTTGAACTGAATACCATGCAATGAGAAGAGAGGAACCTTCACAATCAGAATCTCGAATCGGAGGACTAGGTTCTCTCCAGTGTCGCTCTGCACACGGGTGGTGGTTTCGCCAACGACTCGTTCGCCGACTTGGTGCTGATCCCGTGCAACAAATTCATCCGACGCGTCCGAGTTTGTGGTGAAACTGCGATCCGGTGCTGCTTGAGCCCGACGAAGTTTGGAGGACCCAGTGCGGGTGTCGTTTTGGCTTTCGTCGTGGCCAAGCAGTCCGCCGAAGCTGATGCGGCGGCGGTGTCCAGAGACTTGACCCTGCCTGTCTGGGCTAGGCGGGGCTACATCAACCACTTTGTCGAGGTCGATGCTGGGGGCGTGGCGGCAGCTGAAACCGCCCTTGATCTCGACATATTCAACGGCCAGCTGTTTCAAGACACGGATAATGTCGGCCCGAATGAGGGGCAAAGGCTTGCTGCTGGTGGTTGAAACACTGAAAAGACCCTTGAGATACACCGGTTTGGACAGATCTTCTCCTTCGTTGGCGCTCTCCAGCGCGGTACCTGCGCCAGAGATGTCTGCATCGGTCTCCTCGGGGACATTGGCCTCCCGAGTTGCTTCCCGCCGAGCCCGGCGCGCCTGGATACTTTCCCGTCGGGCGTGGCCAAGGGACATGGTGCGTGCCGTGTGTGTGCGTCCACCGGTCCTCCCACCAGCAACATCCTTCTGATTATTCGGACCAACCTGATCAGAGCCACTGGTCGAAGGTGGCTGGCGATCTGTGGCAACGTCAATTGCATCAGCATCACTCCTCCGTGCAGCTCTTCGGGTTCGGTAGTCAGCCGAATTGACACTGGCGGATCTTTCCAAGAATTTGTTGGACCTGGCGCTACGATCCGCCGAGCCAGGGGCTGTCAAAAGATCCTGCTGTTGTTGGCTGCTATTTGAAGAAACACCACCTGGGGAAGGCTCCGCCCGCCGGGTCCTTCGGACACTGAAGCCACGATTGATTGGAGATGCCGAATCGGCCGGGGGTTGGACGTTGAGTGTGGGTGTGTTGGGGGTGCTCGTCCGTTCACGTTCAACATCACGGCTGCGATCTTTGGTTCTGCGAGTGCTGAAGCGTCTCAAGAGACCAGCAGCGGTGCTTTCCTTCTTTGCTGGTGTGTCGTGATGCGATACTTGGACTGCGTGTGCTGATGGGGAAGAGGAATGAAGACCCTTCATTCCCTCTGAGACCTCGTCCTCGCCATGGGTGCGGGCCCGTGGGCGGGATCGTCTCCCTGTATCCTTGTCTCCTGGCAACTGGTACTGGTTCGTGTGGGCGGCTTCCGGGGCCTGTAAATCAGGCACTTGGACCTCACTAGGAGCCTGACGAAGACCAAGGGCTCCAGGCCGTGCCTCAGAGCGTTCCCGATCAAGCTTTTCTTTGACTAGATGGTATGTGGAGATCAGGGGACTGTAAGCGTTCAAGGGGTCATTTCCCAGCTGCACCGCCTCAGCCGAAGGTGCGGAGAGAGTATCGCGACTGGCTGCAGAGTTTCGTCGTTTGTAGAAATCGAATACTCCGCGTTTGCGCTCCGCATAGTTGGGGGCGGGTTGTTGTTCACGGAAGTTGAGCCTAAGAGCGTGCTGGTAGTCCTCCGACTCCAAGACCTTGGTTAACTGGGATTTAATATATTCTGGAGAGCCGAAATCGAAGCCAGTCATCTTTTCGATAACTTCTTGGTCCAGGGGCAACTGCAAAGGCTCGCGGTGGGGGAGGTAATTCTCTGGAGGGGAGTTGAAACCCTTGTTCATCCAGGGATGGGTCATGATTTCGGCCAAACTGGCGCGCTGCTTCGGGTCGGTGACTAACATGCGGGAGATGATGTGGCGGCATTCTGCGAGATATGGTTAGCGAGGAGAGCAAGTGAAGGACGCATTTCGAGCTTTACTAACCTGCAGTGAGACCTGGAGGATATTCCACGACACCTTTCTTGATTTTGGCATGCAGCTGGGGCATGCTTTGATCGTCGAAAGGCACCTTTCCGCAAACCAAGACATAAAGCACAATGCCAAAGCTCCACACGTCCACCTCCGGGCCGGTGTATTGTCTGGCCTGAAGCAATTCTGGGGCTGCGAAATACAGACTGCCGCAGAACGTCTTCAAGAGACTTCGCGGGGAGAAAAGGTTACTGAGGCCGAAATCAATGATTTTGATATCACCGGTCTTGCTGATCAGAATGTTCTCAATCTTCAAATCGCGATGCACGATGCTGTTGCGGTGGCAATAATCTAATGCGCTGGCGATCTGGCGTGCGAACTTCCGCGCCTGCTTCTCCTTCAATTTGCCGTGGGAGATAATGTAATCCAGCATCTGGCCACCATTGACATATTCAAAGAGCATGTACCAGTGGTATGATGTTCGAACCACGTCCCGCATCCCGCAGATGTATGGGTGGTTCACCAGGCTGACAATTGCGGCCTCTCTAGCAGTTCGAATCTCCTTAGAGCGGTCGGCTCTTTCTGTTTCGCGGCTAGTGCGGTGTTCCTCTGTCGAGAGTCGTGGGACGATTTTGACGGCAACCTGCGACCGATGTCAGTACTGCGTTGATGATTGAAACTTGCTAAATTGGATGCACATACCTGTTCTCCAGTTTCGGTATTTTTCGCTAATTTGACCTTGCCCATACTTCCGGCACCTATCGTTTTACCGAGAGCCCACTGCCCCGTTGGCGTTGTGATCGTGGTCCGACGCCGAGGCGCCGCGGCAGCTGCGGGGGCATTTGTTCCGGTCGCAGGCTGCGTCGGCTCCTGGGTAGCAGCAGCCGGTGACATATCGGAACTATCTCTTTGACGTTGCGATGACGGTTGTCTCTGGTGCCTTCGGGTAGTTTCGGTTCGAGCAGTTGAGGGGCGTTCCTGAGACCGTTCTGAGGACGCTTCCCGGCGAGAGGGCATCCGCGCGACATTGGATGCCTCAAAGTCGCGACGAGCTACGCTGTCCAGTGCAGCATGATTCGAGGGAGGACGTCGGTCATGGGATGCGGTTTTCGAATGCGAGTACTGGGTTTGTGCAGGGGGCTGGGATGTGTTGGATGGACGGACCGCTACACTCCGTGTCCGATGGGGAAGATCCGATGGCGCTCGGGATGGGCGAGATGAGGTCGAATGGCTTCGGACCACCGTCGGTACTTTAGGTGTCGGAGCAGACATCGTGGGTGATCAAAGTTGAGCGGTTGGAGCGGTCAAAGGAATGAGCGGGGGAGCAAAGAGAAGCCGCAGCCAGGGCTCGGGGCCCAAGCACAAGGATGACTTCAAGTGTAGAGAGGGAAGTTGGAATGCAAATGCGAAGATGAAAAGGGAAGAGAGAGAAGAAGAGACGAGGATGGAGATGGGGGGAAGAAGTGGGTTGGATTGCGGAGATGGCCCTTCGGTAACTAAGCTCTCAAGTTGATACCCAAATTATGTCTGAGGCTGGGTTCCACGGGAAAATCGCCCCTTTTTTTTTAATGCGATACTAAAGTATTTTCTTGTTTACTTTTCAGGGACTCTCCAGGCTACCACTTAGGTACATTTAGCCATGTGCTCCAGTGTCCACGTAACCACCAAGCTACACATGTGGGAGCCCCAGACTGTTTGTCATCCACACGTGATCTGAACTATAAATATCCGAGAAGTATACAAACACTACAATCGTTATTTTAGTATATAGAGCACCTTGCAAATTCGAATTAGTCTTAACAACATGCGGGGTGACTTTCTCCAAGGCACTACCCAAGTAATACAAATACTACGCTTTCTCCAAGGCGGTTAGGGAGAGGGACTGCCGATTTGTCGAAAGAGAGCGTCGCCTATCTGATATTCTGCGTGACTACTGGGCTATTTGATCATATCATCAACCATATAGAATTCACGTCTAATTGAATGTAATAGTCAAGTGAATCCTCAAACAACTGGTTCAAAATCACATAATGGGGTCGGATCCCCGTAGGGAAAAGTGTCAATGGTCAGGATTCAAAGGCTCAACGGGACCATTTACAGGTGACAAAAGCAATTACAGAGAGTCCTTGCCATAAAACCCCAGCTATCCTATAATTTCGTAAAAGTCTGAGCAGGGGTATCCCGGTCGGATCTGAGAGCCCTACCAATACCAGACAAACGCACCACCCTACGCATAGAGGAAGTGTCGGTACCGTGAGATACTCCACCCATTTGTCTCAGAGATATCAGAGCCACTGTGGTCATGAAGCGCATGGAACAAGGAGGTAATCGGGAATTGAAATTGAATGGGCCACACCAATGCAGCAGGCCTCGAATCGTAAGCGTAACGATTTCGATGGGGAAAGCTTAGGCTCACCAAACCAGAAACCGACGAAACACGCCAGCCAATGACATACCGACTAGCTGATTGCTCATGGTAAACAGAAGCCGAAAGCCCCACGTAATCTTCAGGTTGTCAAATGCTGTAGAATGTGTCACTTAATGGAGACATCTAGTGAACAAAGAATGCGCTTACGATTTGCTTATAGTGGCATGAGAGCATCGGTAGAATAAGCCTAACCACGCGACACGCTGTATGCTGGTTAATGATGGGCTTAAGCAAATGAGAGCTTCCTACTTACTTTGCCATGATCTAAAAACATGAGATCAGGTCTTTCACGACGAGGGAATCATGACCTAAGGAGTTACTGTGACGACTACATGTTCTTTGATTGTGAAGTGGCCAGGGTTCAGCGTCTATTGAAAACCGAGTGTATTGAATATCTTGATAGGCATCGTCTTGGCCTAGAAACAACCGATTGGAAGACTAGCAACTGCCCTACAAGGGCTGAGAACGATATGGCAGGGCTCCTATTACAAAATCAGCATATGCCATTGTCTTTCAAGATTGATACCAAAATCAGATTCTACCACATGTTCAGAAACATATTAAGGCCAATTCCGTAGTCGTGAATAGCAGTCCTAGGATCCAAGGCACTTTGTTTGAAATCTCTCCGCCATCTGTGTTGCGTACTGCCGCACGAACAGGCTCATATTGAGAGTCCTGCGCAATGGTTTTCTCAATCTCGAGGGCCTTTTCCTTGTCTTTCGCCTCGATAGCATGGTGAATTGCTTCCAGGTGGATTGTATCCAGCTTTTATTGAGGCAGATTCGGTCCCACTGATGGGCGAGCTCAACCTTGTGTAGCTGTTCGACGGGATCCCCATTTGGAGTCTCGGGCTCTGGCAGCTCTAGGCCCGCAACAATAAAGCCCTTGGAAGGTATATTGCAAGGATCTAGTTAGTGCCTTTCGAGTCCGAATATGCAATTCTGATACTTACACGTAGAATGATGAAATGTGAAGGAGCTCAAAGGAAAGTCATACAAACAGCGATACAGTAGAATTCGAAAACAGTTTACCCCTTAGTGACACACACTTTCTTTCTCGGCTCGTACCCGAAACGGGTACAGTCTCTATTTAGCTAAGTGGTAAATTAACATCCATTCAGAAACTACTTTTACTTACAGCTAGTCTAGAATAAGCTAAGCCCCGTTTTGGGTACGAGCCGAGAAACGAAGCGTGTGTGCCTAATAGGGTAAACTGTTTTCGAACTCTGCTGTACATATTTTCACTAATCCCTCTGACGCTTCACGATTCCTAAGTGGTTTCGCAAAATTCAACCTACATTATATGTTGAGAGATTATGTGATAGGATCTAGGGTAGATAGTTTTTTATGTTCTACTCTCTTCTCTCTCTCCCTCTCTCCCTATCCTCCGTCCTATTTTTTTTTTTCCGAGCCTCAATTAGCACAACTAGTTTTCTCTCTATTTCTTACTTCTTTGTAGTCTCTAGAATATACCTGCCTCCCTACCATAGGTTTCACATATAACCACCATCTCTCTTCCCAAAACATCGAGAAACAATTTCCTTGATTTTTTCTAGATAACGTTCTTCAGTGGTCAGTGTAAAGGACGCTTACTTTTTGACCACTTATCACCCATCGGAAAGCACCGTACGGCAGCTCCGCACCCAATTGTGTAGCCATAAGCCCCTAGAATAAATAATCTTTGCGTGGCGTATTATAGACATCGTCTAAGTTTTCGGGACCCAAAGCAGCTTGCAAAATATTTTGCCGGCGTTCAAGATTGTTTCTTTGGTGTCACAATTATTCGATCCGAATTCCTTGAGACATTGTGTTAGTAAATCTTTCAAACTTGAGGCAGCAACGGATGATAACGAAAGCAAGAATATGCTTATGAGAAAGTGCATACTTCGTGGTAGCTTTCAGTGATTTTTTAGTTAATCTCTTGGATGTGACTGAATTAAAATCTCTTACCGTGTGGTAGGTGAATAATAGTCTCTTTATACAATGCCAATGTTGACCTCTATTGAAGGATATAGCTAGCCTTCTTATACGCGGTGCGGTTATGACCACGTCAACAGAATTTCCATAAAATCCATCTCTTTCGTAGTATCAGTTAGGGATACTTTTGCGGCATTAGTAGCATATTTTATCATTCCACAATACTAATTATTTTACTACGTAATAACGTCGTACGAGTACCCTTTTGGACGATAACTATAGGTTCCCGCTTTTGCCGACCAATTAACAGTGGGAAGACTCTATAATAATCTCGTGATACATCAAACCTCCTCTGAAATTCTCAAAATCAAATTGTGAGAAGATCGACCAGGTACTAGACGATGTCTTCTGTAATGAGCTTAGCGCTACCTCGATTATAGAAACAGACGTAAGGATTGAGGAACTTGTTTATAGACTAAAACCTAGTGTGATAGTTATTAGGGTATCCGGGGCTCGGGTAAGCAAGTCGGACAACGAGTGAGAAGAACTTGTTTGGATTCCATGGAGTGAACTCTGGATCTGCTAGAGAAAGATACTAGCTAAAGACAGGATGAAAAATCACAACACGGGGACTTGCTACCTCGCAGCCGGGAATAAGATACAAAGGCATGCGTATAATTAAATACCCTTTGGGGAGCTTTCCACATGTTCTATCTCCTTCTTGTTCGATTCAGCCTCCTTCCGCAATTCCGCCACAGCCGTCATGCTGGCATCGTCGCCGTCGAAAACAACCGCAATCTCCTCGAGTGAGTATCCCCGGGTCTCAGGATATGTGAAGTAGATGGTACCCATAATAACCAGCAGCAGACAGATATATATGATGTAATATTTCCAGGCAATGGAGTCCAGTGCGATGGGATTGACAAACTGATTGAAGAGCAAGGCCAGATATGTGCTGACCGAAGTCAAAGCGACACCCTTGGCGCGTAGTGCGAACGGCCAGATTTCCGCAGGATATGCCATGACTAGGGGTGTAAAGGCGATGTCGTAGCCGCCGTAATAGAGAAAGAGGAAGGGGATCACTGCGGTGCCAACGCTACTCACATGACTGTGGGCAAAGGTCGCTGAGAGGCCTGTAATGATAATGTAGCTCACAAGCATGATGCAGGTGGACAATAGGAAGAGTGTGCGACGCCCGGCGACGTCGACCAGCATAGAGCCAACCACGGCCATGACAAGATTCCACACCTGAAGGAATCCATTGATGAGAGTTTGTTGCGTGACCGAAGTGATGCCGATTGTCTTGAGGATAAGGGTGAGGTAGTAGGAGACGATGCCACTGGTTAGAGGAGAGCATTAGCAAGAACCAAACCAAGAATGAGAGAGACGCTTCGCTTTCTTGTCAGTGACATACATTCCATTCCACTGGGCAAAAGTTCCTAGGGTAAGACTGATAAACAATCGGTGCCGATTACCCTTGGTCCGAAGCATATCGAGCCAGGATGTGGAATTCTTGCTTTCCCGTTCCATGATGATCGATCTGGTAATTTCATCCATTTGAAAGGCAACGAGTGGTGCAGCCTCATCCCCACCCGCATGGTACTTGACGAGAAAAGAGCGGGCCTCTTCGTGGCGGTCTTGACTGATCATCCAGCGGGGGGACTCGGGACACAGGACTACCACAGGGAGTGCCAGCAAGGGAAATACAATCTGACACAAGGAGGGGACTTTCCACGCCCACATCGAATTTATGTTCCGGCAACCAAACACCAGCCACGCGGAGAGTGTGGAGCCAATGTAGTATTGGCAATGGTACATCGCAGTGAGTCTGGAACGGTGCGTGGGGTAGGCAATCTCGGCGAGGAGGATGATGGCAGCTTGGAACCAGCCGCCGGCGATCCCGATAAAGAAACGAGACGCAATAAACATTGCTGGACTATGCGCGCCAACTTGAATACCAACGCCGAGAAAGAGGAAGAAATAGCCCACCAACACGCACGGCTTGCGGCCAAACTTGTTGGCTCCCCAGGCTTGAATAGGTAAACCCAGCATCGACCCCAGGGACTGTATAGCGCTGATAAATCCAAGCCAGGCCCCCGAGGGCGTTTCCATGAAGTCTACCCATGACGACAAGGACTGCAAACCAGTCATCAGCGAGCTGTCATAGCCCACCGTGCTAGAAAAAAGCAGCAGACCGCCGATCAAGCAGTTCAGCTTGATCAAATGCGGTACTTGCCACCAATGCTTTTGATCGGGTGGGAGGACCTAGCCAGTGTTAGTTCAGGATCAGGCTGTGACATGAGCAGAAAGAATGAGAGGGCACCCACCGCGCGAAGGCCGTTTCCCATCACATTCCTATGAGTATCCTTGGTCATCGTGAGCGATTCGGTGCGGTAATGTGGTCGAGCTTTTTTCAAGCGCAGATGAAAGGAATTGAGCAGCCATCATCTCCTCGGGATCAACGAGATTTTGTACTCCAAGGTTCAATGAACAGGTAAATTACGAAACTGGGGGCGTGACCGTAGGCCTCCAGGGCTGTCTCGACAAACCCCAGATTCTGTCAGTGGGAAGCGAGCTGTCCTGTGGGGTAATCCCGCAAAGCCGAATCATCCACTGCCGAAGAAAAAGCCAAAAAAGGGAAACGGGGAGTGTCGGGGATACAAAAAGCCATGGCGGCCTGACTCGTACCCACTCCATCCATCCATCGGCCAGTCTGTGGCTTGGATGAACGCCTCGTTAATTTATCTCTTCACATAATAGTCTGAATAAACTTTGCGCTGTGTGGTTCAACAGAAGCTTTGCAAGCCCCCAGGGCAGGAAATAGCCGCGCAGATTATGCATTGTAGGGAAATTTCAGCCGCTTTTCTTCCCCATCGCAGTTGATTTTCAGCTCCAGATCAACTGCCAAGCATTTCAATATCACGCGATTTTTAGAAAGCTTCTATGAAAGCCCTTCGTTTCATATACAAAAGTAAAATTCTGGAATTTATGGATATATGAATTTATGAATCGCAAGTCGGACACGGTGGAAATTATTGAACTCATTTTGAAGCCTGGCCAACACCCCTAGCGCGGATGCCATCCATCAGGGCGAGCACCCGGAGCGTCTCGTCCCAGGGCATGGTGGCATTTTCCACTCGCCCCGCGACAATATCGTTTGCCACCGCGTCGGCTTCATAGAAGAATCCTTTCCCCACCTTCGGGGGAGCATCATAAATCTGGCGCTCTGCAGCAGCGTCATTGAAAACGACCGTAAACCGGCGTGGCAGAGACGGAGCAATTCCTTCGATGAAAACAGTGCCTTTCGATCCCTCGATCCGAGCGAACACTGGGTCCGACTTGGCTTTCATGGACGACGTGAGAATACCCTGGCGACCGTTCTGTGGGTAGTGCAGCACAATCGAGGTTGTAACGTCAATACCCTCGCTGATACTCTGCGCCGAAAACACCTGTGGGGTCAAGGCTGCGCTGGCGATGCCCTCGTCCAGTCCCAGCAATCCCCATGTCAGGGAATACACCCCGATATCGAGCAGAGTTCCTGCTCCCAATGCCGGGTCCTTCAGACGCGAAGTAGCAGGCAAGCTGTCAAGATCCATGAGCATACCAAAGTCACAGAATACGCGATGCACATCACCGATCCTCTTCTCTTGATGGACCAATCGTAGAAGTTGCTCAGTCAATGGCATGAATCGGGTCCACATCGCTACGTAGAGATTTAGTAGAGCCATCCGTGAAGACATAAAGTGGAAGTGAACATGCGCCTTACCTTCCATCACAAAAACTCCCTTCTTCTTGGCTGCATCAAAAACTTCCTGCGCCTCCTGCTCGTTCAAGGTAAAGGGCTTCTCGCAAAGAACATGCTTCCTATGGCTGATCGCTTTCAGACAGGCGTCTTTGTGGAACGCGTGTGGGATTCCAATATAGACAATATCAACCTCCGGGTCTGCATAGACCGCATCATAGCTGCCGTAGATAGATGGAGTTGCGTCACCCCCAAACTTTTGGGCGAATGCCCGACCCTTTTCCTCCGAGGATGATCCGATCGCTTGAATGATATGCTTTGCGGTCGCGTCTGCCCGTGGGACAACCATGTCACTCACAAACCAGGATGAAATGAGGCCAGTTCCTAGAATGCATCAGACATTGTACTAGACATTACTGAAATCTGGGATTGTACCAATGATGCCCCATCGGAGGATCGGCTTTTGCAGTTCATGCGACATAGTGTGATATAACATATATCAAAAGAGTACTTGAAGATCGGATGAGGATATGGGGTTCAGCTTTCATGTATGAAGGAGAAAAGAGATTGTAGGGTCATTAGTTGGGGACTGGATCCTATATGTATGCTTAGGTTGGTTGTTGGGGGGGGGGGGCGCATTTTCCGAGCTTACATAGATCAATTTCAAATAATTACTTACCCAGGCCATGAAGAATTAAATTCCGATTGGCTCAATACTCATCAGGCTTACATTTGTATTGAGTCCCCCGGGATATCTGGCACCATCATGATCGTGAGTTAAATTCCCTTTGCTTAATGTGTTCTATTTGGTATTTTATCACTCATTTAGCATTCTTGGCTGCTGATCGCACCAGCATTCTAAAGATTTCAAGGTCCTTCTTCGCGTCTTCGGCAGTCGTTTTGATTGCTTTTCCGTCGACCACCATCTGATACAATTCTTTCATCTCTATTGTGTACGGATCTTCATAGGTCTTGCGAATCACACACTCTCTGAGTCCTCCGTTAATATCCTCCTGCACGTGCATGGTGATGGGCAATCCCTTGATGTAAGGCGAGTCGTACTGAACGCGAACGGTCTTGGTCGCGCTATATACTTCGATGTGAGCATCAAAGCGCGGCACAGAGTCCAAGCCAGATTCATAGGTTACCGAGAAGGTCGGATATTCAAAGATCGCACTATTTGTCTGTTAGTCACTGAGTTATTACCCCTCGTCTTGTGGGATTCACGCCTACCTCCAGAACGGCGGCTTCAAATAGGCGCCTACCACGCCCGACGGCATGCCCAGGGCTTCTCGCATCAGACTCAGATCGTGTGATCCGAGGCCTCCTAGGGCCCTCCAGATTCGTGGAGGAACATCGGAGCTATTCACGCCTGCCTCCACCTGCATCCCTTGCGCGACAATCTTTGTTGCGCGTGCCGTGCGATCCTCTACATCTGCCGCTGCGAAATCTGATGCTTTTTTGGGAAAGGTCCCGGACTGATCCACAAATGTGGAATTCGGCCCGATGATGTCTATTGGCGTGCATTTGATTAGCTCTTTGTCTTTGCTGACAACCAGGAACGGCAGAGACCCTCAACGTACCTCTCACGCGAGCGTAGAGAATCTTTTCCATTCCGCCGATCTCACGGATTGCATCTTGAAATGCTGGGGCATATCTTCTCATGTATCCCACCATCACGCATCCTTCAGACGCCTTTTCGGCCGCAATGATTGCATCCGCATCGCGATCATTGAGCGACATAGGCTTCTCAATAAAGACGTGTTTGTTATATTTCAAGGCGAGGATTCCATGAAGGGCGTGGTACTCGTCACTGTTAATGACAAATACCACTTCAACTTCTGGAGATGCGCACAATTCTTCGGGATTGGTTGTAGTCGCCGGTTCTTTCTGGCCAATCACCTTGGATTTGCAGTGCTCGAGCGAGGTGCGGGAGACATCACAGAGATATGTGATTTGGAAGAGATCGGAGAGAAAGTTCAAGGTAGGAATATGTACCACCTGCGCAATCTCTCCGCAGCCGATGAGGCCAACACGGACTTTGCGTGACACTGGTGCAGAAAGTAACATAGTTGTGTCGTCTAATGAGAGGGAAGAAGGGCAACGGAGGGGGAGAATGGTAGAAGAAAAAGAAAGGCGAAAGAGTAACAAAAAATCAGCTGTAGGTCTCCTTTTTATTTTTTTACATCATTAACAACTCATTAGCAACATGCAGTTGCTATGTAGTGTGGTGAACTCCTCCATCCGATCGGGTTAGATCAGGATAGTGGGGAATCGTGACTGGGGATTCCTCTGTCCCGACACTCCCCGTCCCACTTGCCTCCTGCATCTCTTGCATCAATCCGCGCCAATTCAGCCACTAGGCACCAAGTCACGGCAGATAAGAGAGGTTAAGGTCCTCCGGATACGTCCACATGGAGAAATCAACGGCGGGATCAGCCCGATGCAAAAAACGAGCAGTGCCGCCCAACACCCAGACCATGTCCTATCCCCGGAAACGAGCCGTAACGGCCTGCCAGCTATGCCGACGCCGTAAAACGAAATGCGACAATGTCCGCCCCACGTGTGGATTCTGTGCGAACATCGGCGGCTCATGCGTCTACCAAGCCCCAGAGACGGACTATTCCTCGTGAGACCCCAGTCCACTGCCTACGCCCCTTGGGGGAAGCTTACCGGCCCAGATTTGACCCCGCCGCATTGGCTTTGCTCGAGAAGATGGACTACATGATCTCCCTAGTGGAAAAGGCCAAATCCGACCCACCAGTAGATTCTAGCCCGTCCGATGTGCCGGTCACGAGTGACCATATTCAGAGTAGCGCGGTCCGTCCATGGACAGCTCACGCGGACTTGCAAGAAATCCCGTCGCGTTGTGATATCTCGTGTCGAATCCTCGAGTGGCCGATATTCGATGAAATTCAATATAATCGAAAGCGGGACGCCCTATTTGTCGGCCGGGTAAAAGCCTCACAGCAGAGTCATCTGAGGTCGCAAGGCATTGTCGAGGAGCATATCTCTTCCTATGTTGACCAATTTCTAATCAATGTGCACACCAAAAATCCCGTTGTCGACCACACTCTGCTCAGCCAACATGTCCGCGATATTGCAGAGAATGGGCTAGGATGGGACGGACCCACCAGCGTGACCGTAAGTGAACGCATCCAGGCCATTGCATACTATCCACGAACTAATGGGTCTTCAGCTCATGGCATGTGCATTGGGTATTATCTCTCAACCATTCCAGCGAATTCCCGTGACGAACGTGAAGACTGTCGAACCCGATCTTTCTTTGGCAGATGTCTATTATACCGCCGCCCGAAAGCGCATCGGCCTACTTGACACCGCCTCGTTGGAGTACCTGCAGACCACGTTCCTGTCAGGTGTTTATGAAATGTATACACTGCGTCCGTTGGTAGCCTGGCACTCTTTCCATGCCGCCTGTAGCAGCATGCAGTTGTATTTCAAATCAAGAGATCCAAAACTTGAAAGCAATGAAACACGAAACCTGGAACAACGGTTGCATTGGTCATGTTTTAAATCAGAACGGTAATTTTACCCATAATTTTACCCATTTTGCTAGGTTGAAAAGACACTGATCAGGTTCAATTGCAGGGAAATTCGCACGGAGATCAATCTCACGCCTCTAAAAACACCTAGCTGGAACTTGACCGAAGAGTTGCCAATGCCACCACATGAAACCAGGGATGAGGACGTCCCCACAATCTTCCCGCTGGAAGAAAGCTGGTATTACTATCTAACGGATATTTCACAAAGAGCGATTCTAGATCGTATACTCAATTCATTCTATGCGGAAGAGTCAGATCGACACTGGCTTCAGACCTCTCCAAATGACATGGCTCGCATCGCATTAGAACTTGACCGGCAGCTGGTTATGACAGACACCAATCTGCCTCCTTGGCTACACTATTCACAAGAGAATATCGGAGACCGCGAATTACCTTATTTCATCCATCGGCGATTGCTTCAGATGCAAGAATGTCTCTTCAAACCCTTCTTGTTCCGGGTATTACATTGCCATGAGACTCAACCTCAAGTCATTTCCGAGCTAGCGCAACGCTGCGTGGAGGCATGTCGGACGAATATTTTGGAAACCGCCATCCAGCATCGACACCATGGCAGTTGGTTTGTGGCCCGAGGAGCATTTCGGTGCGCGATGGCAATAGTTGCTGCGGCCAAGAGCGGGAAATTGGTCATGCCAAATGATTGGTTCGCGTGTGTAGAAACCGCGTTGACGGTTATTGAATTCTGGGGACAAGAGGCCGCTGATCTCCAGCCTCTCGGCCAAATTCTCCGCATGGTGTACGATCACACAAAGGAGCAGCTAGAGCAAGAACAGTCGCGCTACTGACCAAACCGTCTCTCTTCGGGGTTTGTATCGACATTACAGAAAGAGAATAGCTGGAAGAGATGGATGATATTCGATCTACTCAACCAAAACGGGAAGGTCCTGGAGGCCTGAGAGCCTCAGGCGGTCAACAATTTGCGATCGTGCCAGTCATCAGCCCTTCTCACGGCTACAAACCATGCCAAACAGCAGTTTTCTCTTGTGTGAATCGAGTTGTCAATATGATTTGATCACTCGAGGTGCCGACGAAGACGTCGTACTCCCCCTTTTCAGAAACCCATGCGTCCTGGGTTTCACTCCAATAGCTGGTGGCGTTCCGGTCAAGACTCATTCTGACTTTTGTTGCTTCTCCTGGTCCTAGATCAACCTTGGAAAATGCTTTTAGTTCCTTAACCGGGCGGCAGGTGTCAGACTGTACCGGGGCAACGTAAACCTGAACCACCTCTGCACCCTGTCGAGTGCCAGTGTTCTGGACGATAAGGTGGACATCCGATGAAGAGACTTCCAGATCTGATAGCTCAAAAGTTGTATACGACAAACCGTAACTGTAGTCATTTAGTTTGCGAAACAACTGGTGACTAACACCCATGCTACATGATTTGGAGTATCTTACCCAAATGCGAACTGTGGCTCCTTCTCCATCTTTTCATAGAATCGATATCCAACGAAAATATCCTCGCCATATAACACTCTGCCATCATTGGCGTTGAAGTTGAGAAAGGCAGGGTTGTCTTGCACCACTTTTGGGAATGTCATGGGCAATTTTCCGCTCGGATTCACCTTGCCAAATATGACGTCCGCGATCGCGTTTCCCAGTTCATTGCCACCATACCAGGCTTGAATGACAGCCTTTGCTTTGGAAGCCCAAGGCATCGCCACTGGTGTTCCAGATTGAATGACCACGATTGCATTGGGATTAGCGTCAAGGACTGCATCAATCAAAGTATTGGTGTGCCCGGGCAGGTCCATTGATTGTCGATCGTAACCCTCGCTCTCGATATCTTGCTGGAAGACATTTAACATCCTATGTCTGCTCGGAGAAAAGGGACATGCAACTTACATTGAGACCAGTAAAGATGACGATGTGTTTCTGGCTTTTCGCCATCTGAACTGCTTCATCGATAGCCAGCTTTGCATCAATTCTTGGACACCCGCCCAAGCGAGCACCGCCATTTGACAGTGTAGTAGCACCAAGTCTTTGAAGCGTCGAGGTGCGTCCATTGCCCCACTCCAGGCGGAAATCATATGTCGTGCCTTTCCGAAGTTCGACAAACCCAAGTTCTTCCACCGTTCCGCTCCCAAAGAATGACCCTCCCGCTCGTTGCTGGGTGCAATTATCAATCACGAGCTTGTCATTGATGTATAAAAGCGCGGTGCCGTGGCACATAACCCCAAAGTCCCACACGCCCGTCTTCTCGGGGGTGAGATACCCTGTCATGGAGGCATAGAAAACCGGGTTGGCACCTGGTGGCTTATAATCCAGTAGCTGAAACGATGAATCGGCAACATTTACTACTTCCAATGCTGTTCGATCGGGCGATGTGTGAGGATCATTGTAGAAGGTTACCATGATCCCTGGGCTCGTCTTCACATACGGTCCCAACAGTGGTTGAAGTTGATGACCATAGGCGCCGGGACAGTATTCGATGTTTTGCACGTAAGATTGTAGCCCCTCCATTGGTGTCACAACATAATAGGGACTCAGTTTGGCAGATCCACCTATAGAATCTCAGTCAGTTTGGCAGTTTGGCAAGGTACCAAAACAAAGAATATCTCACCTCCGCAGTAGGTTGCAGCTTTGGAATGAACACCAATTACACCTACACTTTCGGTCTCCACCCAAGGAAGCATTGCATCGTCATTTTTTAACAAAACGATGCTTTCAGATGCCAGACGACGAAGAACGCTTCGATCTTCCGGGGTGTCGCGAATACTCTCTTCGTCTGATACCTCGCATTCGCTAGCCCGTTTGACCAGTTCGAGAACGCTTCGGACTCGAGTATCAACTGTGCGCATTGGAAGAGCCATTGCAGAGACTGCCGCTGACAATAGCCTACCTCTCCATTGTGGTGGACCCGGCATCTCGATGTCAAGCCCGGCGACCACTGACTCGCTAGTGGAGTAGGTGCCGTACCTGTTGATTTTGAGGTTAGCTTGCACGCTTGTCTATGGCAGGGCTCGAGGCATGATTATACCAGTCGCTGATCGTAGCTCCTTCAAAACCCCATTCCTCGCGCAAAATTCGTTGTAGCAACTCAGGGCTTTGCGAACACAATTTTCCATTGAGCTTGTTGTAAGCAGTCATGATCGCATGGGGATTACTCTGCGCCAGTGCCAACTGGAATGGCTTCAGATATATCTCTCGCAATGCGCGGTCGGTGACAATCGTCTCTAAGCCTCTTCGGTGCTCCTCTTGATCGTTACAAACAAAGTGTTTTGGAGTTGCGACCACCCCTTCGCTCTGAACACCCTGGATAATGGCTGCTGCTAGCATACCGGACAGATGAGGATCTTCCGAGAATGATTCGAAGCCTCGACCACCAAGGGGAGATCCTATTCGCGATATTGTCAATACTTTGATTGAATCCATCGATAACTGCTTGATTTGCTCTTACTTTGTATGTTCATGGTCGGCCCTAGCCAAATGGCTGCACCTTTGGCTTTGGCTTCCTTGCCAATGAGAATTCCAGCTTCTTGGATTAGGCCTGTGTCCCAGGTTGCTCCCAGTCCTGTTCCACATGGCAAACATGCTGCTGGGACACCATTGAAGAATTTAGTGCCTCTGATCCCATTGGGCCCATCGGACATTCGGATCGATGGAACATTGTAGTTGGGCAAGGGCGTTGTGTGCCAAAAGTCATGTCCTAAGAGTTCGAGCTCAGTGATCAACCCAATTTAGAAATGAATAAAAAGCACCAACCTGCAAGGAGGTTTGATTTCTCTGCCAGGGTCGCATTTTCCAGAATAAAGTCGATATTGATCTCGGGCTTCGTTTCTAACATCGTCACGAGCTTATACGTGTGAATACTGCAGCTCGGAATTCTGCTGTTTTGGCTGATTTGTTGCCTTGTAGTTAATAGATACTTCAAAGCCAAGTCCTTTAAACAATTCGAAGATTCTATTCTCTAGACCTTTATTTATCTGTGCCAATCTATGTTTAAGGATAGCTCCCCAACCCCGACACTCCCCGTGTGGGGCAGTCCGTGCACCGGATCTAGAGAACCTCAATATCTAGGCTTGCTTTAGCTCTATTGGCAACTTTGCTGAGGAAATAAAGCTTTGAATGATAACTCTGGGGACGGAATCCTTCGACCAATTTCCCACTTGGTCTTCTAGTACCTACCGAGGTCTTGAGATAGACTATAAGGAACACAGACTAGCGTGTTTCCGCATTGAATCGGGAAAGGATCAAAGAAAATAAAGCCGAAACGATGGAATAACGAGGGTAGTGGGAATGAAAAATAAATATATTTATTGCTATTTTTGGGATTGATTAAGCAAGGGAGGTAAAAAAAAAACCCAAAATTATTTCATGCGTTCAACAAAATCTCAATTGCTGTGGTTTTAATTACACCGTGGAAACTCAACCCCAGATGGCGCGATAGCCTTGCAGACTACTTTAGCCGAAGGGGCTGTATGAAAATAAATTGGCTTCCCAGCTGAACGAGAGTATGGTTTTCTTGGACCACCTACCTCCTCAGCTCGGTCTCTTGGCATCTGCAAATAGCCGCCGGGTTGAATGGATGGTCTCTGTCGCGCCGTGGGAACGGACTAGCCCTGACGCTGACCTAGATTCGGAGCTTGTTCTAGCAGCGCAGTGTACCTAATAAGGGACCATATACTTATTGCGGGCCTGACGTGTACATCCAAGGCTATCTATCCATGGATGTCTCGGCATGAACGTTTCAAATGGGTAAATGACAATGCAATCGATGCTAAAGAGTGATAGAGAAAATACGACTACCCAAAAGGAAGAATAAGAGAGAATAAGCCAAGGCAAGTTCATGAAAAAGACACAAATGCTCCAAAAATCTCGACCTTAGGCAGTCTATCTAACCGTCCAGTAGACTAGGATACAAAGTGTGTTCTTCTTCTAATCAACTATTTGACACTGTCTAGTGTGAGATGCATTGGATGAGGTAAGGTGGGAAGCAGTTTGAATAGGAGTTTTCGTTCGACTTGAACATATTTGGACGGGAAAGTAGACAAAGGTACTTCACTGGTGCGTATCTAGCCGGATGTTTGGAAATTCCGGGCCCTCTTCTGTAGAAATTATCCTAGATGCGATCGAGAAAGGGCTTCGATTATTTATTTAAAAAAGAAAAAGGGAAAGTGATCTGTACAACCAGAAGATGGAAAAGCAGTGAACGGGCTGGGGCAGCATCCACGGCTGTATTCCTATTATGTTACCTATTATGCTACGACTATAAAGCTCCTATTACATCAAGCCTTCAGATATCTTCAGGGGTTCTCGACCTCGGCACATAAGGAAGTTGGAGCCGACGTCATGGACCCACCTAGGGACTGTGGCGCTAGTTATGTATGAACTTGCATAGATCTGGACTAGCCTACTGTGCCTGCGTTCCTTGTAAGCAGGATTAAGCTCAAAATGCAGGGTCACTTTGGCTTCAATCTTGCTAGTGACACAGCCACATTGCATCTAGTCGTGTGCGGCGTTTTTCATACATCCTGGTTGGGATTCAGGGGCCGACAGAAATTCTCGCCCTTTCCTTTTTTCAGACGGCTATGAAATTCAAAGAACCAAGTGATGTGATGCAGTCTTATGATATATCTATGTTTCATTCAGATTTGCGGTCGACAGTAGATTGAAGTGAACAAAAAAGTTGACTCATATTGTAATACAGGGCGTGTTGGTACACACATTTCACATTTTGTCCCATTGACAGATGTTCTATGAGATTCTTCAGCATTCTAAGCCGGCAATGACCGCATAGCTTCTTCCATGGAAATTAGCGAGTCTTTTCGCAACAGACTTGGGAAACTTGGTGACAGGTTTGCACTGTTCCTCACACACGTCATACATGTTCGGCCGGATTTGTGGGTCTGGAGAGCTCTGGGCACAATCTGGGGCCTCGTAGCTTAGGCCTAGACAATAAGGGAGGGACGTATACGCGCGCCTACAAATTAGTCCAAGTGCTATTGATTTAATCGGGAACAATAGAATGTTCGATGTTAACCTTACTGCTGGGTTCCGAGCCGCGAATCAAAAGCACTTGCAAGGGGCACTGGTCACATGCAGATAATTTCAAGTGATGTCAGGCATCTTGAAGCCTGTCGTTCTGGGGATACAGCCACTTTTCGTATAGTTCCAAGGTTTTTGGTGCTAAGGGCTAAACTTGGTTGCAGAAACTTGAATGATCCGGGCTCGTCCAACGATGACGTAATGACATCATCGCTCTTCTCTTCAATATAAATAGCCCTGGTCTGTCGCCTCTCACTTTTCTTTCTCATCCAATTCAATCACAATCAATCTACAACACCTCAAACGAACAAACTAAACTTTAAACTCTTTCGCAATGGAGACTGTCAAGGTTCGTGGATCCCAAGATTCTAAAGTTCTTAATATACTAACCATTGTATAGAACGCCGCCAACTACGTCGCTGAGACCGTCCAGGGTACTGGCGCTCAGGCTTCCAAGGAGGCAAACAAGAATGTCGCTAAGGACAACGATGCCAACGTCACCACCCGGGCCAGCGCCGCTAAGGATGCCGCTGTCGACAAGAAGGACGAGTTCACCCACAACACCAAGGCCGATGTCCACAAGGGTATGTCGATTGATCCCGATGCTATCATTGGTTTTAGAACTAACAACATTGCAGAAGCTTCTAAGAACTAAATGTACCGCGTTCAATACCCGTGATACCTATCGATCTATTGCTTAATGTGGCGAGCCACGTTCGCTATTATGGGCTTGCTCTTGATGACTTTATGTAAATAGCGAAATAATACCACCAAGGTCTTTTTGACGCTGAAATCACTTTCATCTTTAATCTCAATGCGAAAGAGGCAGAAAACAGCATCTGCTGCAACAAACTTGATGAGCTTGATTGCCTTATAGTAGTCCGGTATCATAAAACGAGGCCACAAATGTATATGCTGTGCCGCTTAAGATACTTGGACAGTCGCCAGACCTCTTACTGCCATCCTGTTGTAGAGATGACACAGAGCCGGAAGATACAAGGGGGATCTACGGCTATACCGAATGTAGATTAGTGTCTCAAGTTAGGGTTCGGGAATAAACGTTAAGTCGCAAGAGTGATTTCGAATATGACTGTACTTTGACAAGCTATCCACACATTTAACAATCCCACTGTATCATGACCCTCATATCTTTCTATTTAAATGTACAACTGCTTCATAAGGAGCGAGTGTTTCGGATGAAATATTTTGTACATGTAGTAATCGTATGTGACTACATGGTTGAGTGTATATATGTACAAGTGTAGTGACAGGAATTCGTTTCGCTAAGTTACAGAAGGGTACCGGGAAAAGATACGGCCAATTCAATCGTTACGAAATGTAACGTGGAGCTGAACGCATGGATCACTTCTGACCTTCCCATATGGGATGGGTTATAGGTAGTATGCCCTTGATGATTGGTACTAGACTGTCCAACCGCACGGGTTTTGTCAGGAACAAATCCATACCAGATCCCGTAGCATCGCGTTGCACGTCGGCTTGCGCGAGGCCAGTAAGAGCGACAATCGTGACACGGTCCTTGTTTGCCAACGACTTCTCAAACTCACGGATTCGCCGTGTGGCTACGAGGCCGTCCATGATCGGCATGGAGATATCTATTGAAATTATTAGTTTCCAAAGGAGTACTGTATGAATTGACTTATGACTTACCCATAACGATAATGCCGATATTGGAGGCATTTGCCTTGAAGAAGTCCAGAGCTTCTTCTCCATTTTGTGCAAGCGCGTAGTCACATTTCAATTTTTTCATGAACGCTACCAAGAGCCGTAGGTTGATATCATTGTCATCCACAAGAAGGACAGTCATCGGAGGAATCGGCCGAGGCTCGGATCCTGTATCAAGTACTTTTGCGACAAACAGGTCTTCTTCCGCAGCAACTGGAGACATATATGGGCCATCCACATCACCTGGAGATAAAATTTGCGGCGTAGGGATACTCTTCAAGGCCTGGTTGGAAAGAAGTGCGCGGTCTTTTATTTCAATCTTAGGCTCTTCGCTGAAACCGCTGGTTGGCGTGCTGAGAAGCGAATTCCCTTCAAGGTCATCGTCGGTGGATGAAGACTCGGCTGGCCTTGGTCGTCTTCTAATTGTACCACTCGCAGAATCAAGCCGTTGCTGTTGACGCTTGATGCAAATTTCCAATGTATTTGCCAACTTGCGTGGCCCACATGGCTGGCTAATAAACTCAAGGACCTCTGTATCTCCTCGCCTCTGGGCGCTCGCAGACATCGAATGCGCAATGCTTGGAGATGAGCATATGATTATGACAGGAGAAGTGGACCGGGTATTTGGACCAGGGGCAATAGGCTTGATCTCTAAATTCCCAAGATCTAGGAATTCATGGGGCGAAATGTAGAAGTCACAATGGTCGAATTGTGTCTGCGACGGGACAACCAAGGAAACATTCATGCCGAACCAATCTCGACAGAGCATTTGCAAGGATGAACAAAGTGCACTGTCCAAGTGAGATGTCCCTAGACCTAACACACCAATGGCTTTACCCTGAACAAGTGCTTTTGTCATTGGTACAGGGGGGCGAGTATCGAGGTCATCCAAAGGATCAGGCTCGAAGAAGTGATCGAGAGCCACGGTCGTGATAACTTCAGTGCCGATATCCTTCTCAGAGTTGACCTGGATGCTGCCCCCAAGTGAGGATACTATTCGACGGGTGATGTTGAGCCCAAGTCCATTACCAGTTGTCATGCTATCTTCTTGGGAAAAAGCAGTAAACAAGCCGTTGTTGAGATAGTCTGGGCCAATACCACATCCAGTGTCTTTGATGGTCACCGTGACCTTTGACCGTGTGGCCTCACCATTCGTTCCAAATTCGGCTGGGGCTGCCTTCAAGGAGACATGGATGTACCCGCTTTGAGTAAACTTGAGGGCATTCCCGAAGATATTCGTTAGGATCACATGCCAAGCGCCGGGCCGAGTTGAAAATTTCCAACTCTTTGCAGAATCAATATCTAGGATCACCTTAACTCCCCCCTGGGAGATATATGGTTTGGTTGGTGATGAGAAGCCGGCAACGCCCCGAAGAGGAGAGCGTGAGCTGTCGAAGAAAGAAAAGCCCGCAAAGACTGTTTCTACGGCGTCTTCCACGGCAGCATCGAGTTCAACATAGGAGTCAACATCGACCTTCCCATAGCTTGGACTCTCATCGGCGGAACTGCGCCCCGAGAAAGGTTTAGGTTGGCTTCCACCAGGCGTTCTAGCGAGGGAGTTTGGCCGAACATCATTTATGCTGGCATACTCAAGAAGTTGGTTGATTGAACCCAAGAGTGTAAATGCACAGGCCCCGATGGTATGAACGAAACCACGCTGTAGCGCGTCGATCACAGTATCATTGAGGAGCTCCGCAGTACCGAAAATGCCGTGAAGAGGAGACCTAAGCTCATGACTGAGTCCTGCAAGTAGATCTGACTTTGCCCGCTCGGAAAAGTGGGCACCGAGCCGATGTACTTCAGCCATAACACTGTTTCCGAATGCCAGTAGAAAAGCTAATTCCTCATTGGGTGTGAACACACGATGGGGGGCTCGTGTCCACGTAAGACTTCCTGAGTACCATCTTCCTTTGTGTGAATCCCACAATGGCGAGAAAACGATGCTTCGAGAATCGGGCGCGAGTTGAAGAAGCGCTTCGGCATCCTGGCGTACTAAAGCTTTCCGTGTTTTTTTATACTTCTTGCCCCCAGTGCGCCGGAAGAATCTTTTAAAAACACCATCGCTGGTATCATCGGAAGAAATTGTGCCTTTTTCGCCAAAGTTGAAAATCTTTCCTCGCGGATAACGGTGCAGGAGTCCCCCGAGGAAAGACTCTGATAATGCGATTTGGTTATTTTCGTTCGATTCTTCGCTGACGCTGGACGCACTTGACGTTGAGAACCCAAGTATCTGGCAGGGGTTTGACGTGTTTTTGCCAGCAGGGGCGTCTTGATTTACACCCAGAAGATCCTCCTGTCCAAGCGCTTCTTGATATCTGGACTCATCCTCACTCGAGGAATAAAAAGAGCTCTCGAGACCACTACTCTCAGTGTCAGACTTCGCATGGTTGACCAAAGACTCTTGAGAGCGAAACTGGGCATCGAAAAAGACAACCGCTTCAACTTCGATACTCTCGCGAATGAGGTTGGCCGCACGAGAAAAGGTTTCCTTCACCTTGGCTGCATAATCTTCTCTCGGTGATTTTCGCTCATCGCCAACTGTGATGGCTGCCCTGGATGTCTGGTCGAGCTTGAATTGGGCCTTGGCATCTCGTTTGCTGGTATCTATCTTGACCACCGGCTGATGACTCTCCTCATTGGGCTGAGGCCTCTGATTCCGGGGAATATGAAGGTTATACGGATGGAAAGGCAGATGACTAGACGGGGCATTTCGTGCCATGGCCAAATGCACGTCCTGGGAAATTTGCTTCTCCTGTTGTTCTTGATTGATATGGCCCTCGGATGTGTCATTTGTGTCAGCCTGGATTCGAGGGTCATCGGTTTCGATGAGCCACGAGTTGCGCAAACTGCCTTTCCCCTCAAGATAGCTCCCAAGTCCAACAATCATACGCTCACTTCGGAGATGTTGACTTCTCGCCCGGCATGTTTCCAAATAATTCATGACAGTGGCCCCTACATCAGCCAGGAACTTCAGCAAACTGGTATCCAAAGGACCGTGTGGTTTATCGTCGAGAACCGTGTAGGCACCTATCACGATACCCTTTGGGCTGATGATAGGGCTAGAAGCTAAGAATCGAACATTCGGGAACGATGTGACATCGGGGTGGTCCTTGAACTCATCATCTTGTGTGAGATCTGGCACGACGAAGACTCGGTCACTAGGGGTTTGCGCATTTGCAACCGGCTTCATAACAGATCTGCAGAAACTGCGATCGTATGACACCGTGCAGCTACCGAGCCAAAGCTCATCCTGGCAATTGTGGTCGGTGTCATCTTGTAGGCTTAGGGTTCGGGTGGCTTCGGTAAGAATGTGCTGCTCGTTTCGACTGAATAGTGAAATCAGGGTGCGTTGGGCATCGAGTCGCAAAGTACCCAGTTGGGCAAACGCCGTCAGAACGGGGTCCACCGACGATCGAGCGACAAATTCCTTCGACGGAGTAATGGGACCGATATGGTGAAGGGCGTGCGCTTTCAAATGGTACGGCGGTAAGTACCTGTGGAAGCAGGTTGTATGATTAGCCTACTGGCGTTTGGCAGAGGTTGATTGCGCAGTCGGGTACGATCTAGATGCAAGAGAATCTGGTAGAGTTACTTATAGAATTCACGCTCGTTTGATGTACCAAAGCTGGTTTGGTACGGGGCGTCCCGTAACGAGGCTGGACGCGACATTGCGCCTGAGAGTCGAAACAATCATGCGCATGCGGTAGTGCTATAAACATATGCGCTTTCTTTCCTCGAAGTCTCCCTCGGAAAGAAAGCAGGACGGAGTCATTGAGAGGGCTTCAAAAATGTGAGGTGTGGGAGCGGGGGGTGGAGAGAAAGTTCGAAGGGATTAGATAAGTGGTGGCTTTCGATAAGTGGTGGCTTGAAGCCACTCAAATGATCGAGGGAGTTCTTGATTATTGGTCCGATCGAAGTCTTGACATCTAACAGGAAGATTCTTTGCTCTGTTTGTTTTATCCCTGTGACATTCCATGTGATACAATAGATGTTATAATATTCCTATATAGCTTATCCCTGGCTCTATACTCTATACTCCATTTACATCCAGTGCGAACCACGCCGATCCTTACCTAATCAACACTTTTCTGCTTACCATTCTACTTGAGAAAGGCGGTGATATCGCGTCCTTGCGTTGTAGAACATCGGCTGTATATGCTGTGTTTCGGAATTCGGAACGTTGCACGCATCTAAATCTTCTCTTCGAGCAGATCTGTCATCCCATGCATGTGACTTCTACCTCAACTAGGCCTTGTCTGGTGACGGGCTTTATCCTCCATTCACGAGTGTTTTGGGCTGCCATTAGGGAATCCCTGCCCAGACATAACGACGGATGAGCCATGTCCCCGTGTTAGAGCCAAAAGCCCCAACATAGAAATATCTTATTTCCAGGATCGCCTCCACAGTCTAAAATACTTGCTTGACGATATTCCGTCGTGCCTACAAACTTGGGTTCCAACCAATGGTGAAATCAGCAATGGCGATTTACGGAGCGAAGGGGGAAATGCTGTTTCTATGTAGGGACTTCTCCGACCAACTGGGCCGCTCCTTAGATCCATCCATCTCTTATCTGACAACTCGAAAGATGGATGAGATGTATGCCTCTAAGCCTCTTGATGCCACCGTTGTGTGAAAGCTCCCGACAAAATTGCAGCGGAGTGGTAAGAACTCTCACGTATGCGGCTTTGCGCAACGCCTCTCTCCATGTCAATTGGGCCCTATTATTCGGCCGGTGTAGCGCCACGCGCCAGGATCCCGCCGTTGACCGAAACGTCGCTGGATATGCTCCCAGCAGTTATAGGCATCCTAATAGCGGGCACATGCTATGTACCAATGGATATGATCGCCTGGAGCCGCTCGCGAAATGATGCTACACTTTCCGAACTCGAGTCGCCAGTGGCTCTCGTCACCAGCCGTGACAAGGAGCCCACGCTGGAAGAACAATCTACTACGTAGGTGATTGTCACACTTTAATAACCGATGCTCGGTAACGAGATATACAGCTCGATGCAGAGGAGAGTCTCAAGTTCTGAAAAAAACCCACTTTTTTGGGGGACACTGATTGGCTTCACTTAGTCGGTCCACCTAGACGGCAATGACGTAGGTGTCGATATGATATCATTGGTTGCCAAGAAGGATTGTCTCTATTATAAATTATTCTTTTTGGCCAATTACTTTGATTATGGCAGGGCATCATTATATTCAAAAAATGAATTCGTTACACGAAAAACAGTCACCCTACTACAGTCTTGCAAAGGAAAGGGAATTCTACAGGTATGTCTCCATTTGGAGTGATCCGAATGCTTTGTGCGCAAGTCATTCGTGTACTGATCGGGCAAGAGATATCTACCACAAGGTCACTCAGGGTACCAATATGCTCCATTTGACAATGCTGGACAAAATACGTTCTCTGCATTTGTTTCGAAAGACCGTGCCTTAACGGCCTTCGCCCAATTGGGCGCCATGACGCTGGGCGCTCAGACGGCCATGATTTCGCTCTTCGGTCCTACTCATCAATATATTCTTGCGGAGGCCAGTGGAACGCCGTTGGATCGCCATTGTGACAGCTTGTTGTTAGGATGCTGTCTCTTGCCGAAGGAAAAGGGCATCTGTCAAGACGTTGCAGCTCTGCCACTATCGGAGCTTTCAGATGGTCCGGCAATTGCTGGGGGCAGTGTTTTAGTGATACCAGACATAAGGGACAATCGCCGTTTCAAGCAATCCAAATTAGCTGACAATCTTTCTGGGGTAAGATTCTATGCTGGAGTACCCATTGTCAGCCCTAGAGGAATTACAATCGGGTCATACTGCGTCATGGATAAAAGTCCCAGGAAAACGGGACTCGACGAGTCATCCGTATTGTTTATGAAGGACATGGCAGAGACTGTCATGGAACATTTGAGCATGGTGCAATCCAAAAGTCGACATCATCAAACAGAAAGAATGATAGTTGGCTTGGGGAGCTTCGTTGAGGGCAAGGCTACGCTTCAGGGTTCATGGCTTGAGGCGAACGAGCAAGACACTGCAACACGGCAATCTGGAGAGGCCGTGGAGGGCAAATTGAACAAGCGGCAACAGGATATACAAGACGTCCAGGATAGCCCCGAATCTCAGCAACTTCCTCACCGCTCCTCTGCCAAAGTCTCTTCAAAACCCGCTCTTTCGAACACTATCCGGAAGGATCCCGATTCTGAGGTCAAGCCTACGACAACTTCAGCAACCCATTCATCAAGTGGAACCGATTCAAGATTGATTCCGAATCAACCAAATTCGGACCAAGCGAGTCAGCAAAATAAGGCGACGCTCAAAAGCTCTGTTTCAATTGACGACGCACCAGAGGAAACTGTCCCATCTGCTTTCGAGAAGATCTTCTCCCGGGCGGCAAACTTGATCCGAGAGTCTATCGAGGTGGAAGGGGTTGTTTTCCTTGATGCAAGAGTTGAGTCGTTTGGAGAGCTTGATCAGGATGAATTCCAAAAAGCGCGTGAAGCGTGGGCACACGGCGCAACAACAAGCGGCGATGAAAGTGCAGACTCCGGAAGCCCGCCAAGACCCATGCATCCCTTCGCCTCGGGCATTGGAAACAAAGATATCACCACTTGCCGAATGCTAGGCTTCTCAACGTCAACATCCTCTAGCATTGATCATGGTAAGCCGGGCCACAATTATGCAATGGGTGATTCATTGTTGAAGGCCCTATTGGGTCGATACCCACATGGGAAGATCTTCAACTACAATGAAAACGGATTACTGTCTGATGACAGTAGCGGTGGTAATACCTCCCGCAGCTCCGAGATGAATCCAGGCTCGGAAAGGAAAAAGAGAAGGCGGAAGCCTCACGACACGCAAAATGCCAATGCCCTGGTTAAAGTCCTTCAAGGGGCCAGAAGCATCATCTTTTTACCTTTGTGGGATTCCCACAAAGCTAGGTGGCTTTCTGGGATGTTCATCTGGACAAAATCTCCAGAACGCGTCTTCACTCCCGAAATAGAACTCACATATCTTCGCGCTTTTGGAAATAGTGTCATGGCAGAAATCCATCGATCTGATGCTGAAATGGCGGAGAAAGCCAAAACAGACCTGCTCAGCAACATCTCACATGAGCTGAGAAGCCCTCTCCATGGAATATTGGGAACTGCGGATATTCTCAGCGACACGGCCATGAATATGCTTCAGCAAGGCATGGTACATACAATTGAGTCGTGCGGGCGGACGCTTTTGGACACCATCAACCATTTACTCGACTTCACCTACATGAAGAAGTTCAAATCTGACTCAGGGGAAGCGTATGCGAATCACGAGAAGCAAATTGATGTGCCGGGTCTGAAACCGGCAAAGCTCCAGCGCAACGCACCAAACAGCAGTGAAAGGGCCTACGGCCCTGTGCAGCTTGATTCCGTTCTTGAAGAGGTAGCGGAGAGTGTTTTTGCTGGTCATAGCTTTTACCATCACCCGCGGGCTCAGCCTCAGAAGGTGACCAACAACGAATCTTCCATGTCCATCTCCCTGCCAACAAAGCAGGTGACTATTATACTCGACATTCAAGAGGCTGAAGAATGGGCCTTTCTCACAAGCGCTGGTTGTTGGCGACGCATTCTGATGAATGTTTTTGGCAATGCACTGAAGTACACCCCTTCGGGCTTCATTTATGTGGGACTGAAGACAGCTCCCCACAATCGCCGGATGAGTGATAGTTCTGCGGGTTCCACAGCCTCCGAGGGGCTGGATAGCCAATGCTTGGTCACCCTGACTGTCAAAGACACTGGCCAGGGCATTAGCGCGGAATACCTTCGGGACGGCCTATTCACCCCTTTTTCGCAAGAGGATGGACTAGCCCCTGGAAGTGGACTCGGTCTCAGCATCGTCCGCCAAGCGCTCGTCTCTATTGGTGGCTCTATTGAAGTCTCTTCTGAAAAAGGCCATGGCACAGAAATATCAATTGAGGTGCCTTTGAACGTTGCCCCCGAAAAAGATAAGTCGGATGGTGCTTCATCAAACGAGTCTTACAGAGAGATAAGAAAATGGGCGCAGGGCAAAACCATTGGCTTGTTAGGGTTTGCTTCATCACTTGTGTCACCGCGGGACATTACTCTCTACAAATCTCTGGAGCATTTATGCCAAGACTGGTTCAACTTGACTGTCAAACGGGTGTCTCCTGCAGATAACAACGACCCTTGTGACTTTTACATGGCGGTCCAAACAGATCTCGACAGCCCAGATGAAGAGCAAAACCAAGTGTCAGATATCGGCTCCATCATCGATGGAAAAGATTGTGACGTTTCGCCCCTCATTGTTATTTGCGAGTCTCCTGAAAAGGCGCATAACATGTTCGCGCGTGCAGCGAATCAAAAGCGAGAATCCATTATCGAATATATAAGTCAGCCATGTGGACCTCGCAAACTAGCCAAAGCGTTGAGTCTTTGTATTCTTCGGCTAGATGGTCGGGATCCTGAGGCCAATAAGCCAACTCACTGGGTCGAAATGCCAAACTCGTCAAAAATTCCGCTCGATGTAGGGCCCAGGGACCCGCCCAATGAGAGAATGAAACTCGGCAAACGACCAATGTTAGATACTACGGGATCCTCAGAGGAGGAACGCCTCAAATATGATCACGATGACCGAATCAAAAGCCCTACACGTATCGCTGAAGGAGCTCCGCCATCCATCGCAGCAAAAGATACAGTCAACGATGAGTTATCAGTTTTACTGGTTGATGATAACCAAATAAATCTGCAAATTCTGGTTGCTTATGCAAAGAAAGAGGGCTGGAATATCATGACGGCAACAAATGGACTTGAGGCTGTACAGACTTTCCGGGCCCACTCTGGAAAGTTTGCAGCAGTCATCATAGGTATGCAAAACTCCATCTATTTCAACACGTTCTAATCGATGAAGACATCTCAATGCCAGTTATGAACGGTCTCGAAGCTACTCGAGAAATTCGTCGTTTTGAAAGACAATATCGGAATGCTCATAAGTCATCAAATCCGCCGTGGGACCCGACAACCATAGTGGCCTTGACAGCGTTAGACAACGTTGATGCTCAGAAAGAGGCCTTTGCGTCTGGGATGGATGTATTCCTGGCGAAACCGGTCAACCGGCAGGAGTTACGGTCTTTATTGCAAAGAATCGCGAAATAGTCGGCAGATGCGCTAGAAATCATGTAAGAGTATAGGCTGTGACCAGCTTGTAGAGATTATAATATGAATATCATAGAATCTGGGTATGCTTGCAGCTGAATATGATGACTAGGCCCAATGATAAGAAAGCCCACATGGCCGTACCATCTGCGACATCTCACTTACAGAAACCTAATTCGGCCTTGATTATAATTATGGCCGTATTACGCCGTGAATCGGCTTGTCTCAGTGATCGGGTATTATCCCTTCGGGGTATTACTGAACAGAACCAGACAACCTATATCGACTGCATGCATCCAAGGGTTAGGAAGCGGCACAGATTACCTATTGCTAGAGCATCAATCCATAGCCTTAAGACATTCAGATGATTAGACCATTAGTATACTTTCTATAAATACCGGAAAACCTCAATTAAAGGTTTCTCAGCCATTAAGTTGCGATAAGCTGGTTCTTCGCTCATCAAGAAATGTGTAGTCCTAGATGTGGGGGCCATTCCCGGATTCCCATCAAGTCTCTCCCTAGTATGTCCTCATTAACTAGTGTACGTGGAAGAAAAGATCTACCATGACCGATCTCGGCCCTTCCGGGAAACCAATTTTTATATAAGCCCATAAATGGCGACCTTCCACTACTATACATTTAGCCTCGTCAACAAAGGGCGGCGAAAGGGCGGGTGTCTGTATTTATTCTGCTCAGCCTCCTCGAAAATTCCATCTGAGACGCTTCTATAAGGAGTTTTATGTATCTGCCAACTTTTCAAGGATTCTCTCTACCGACTGTCCTAATGTCGATACCCAAGATATTATCTGATTGGTTTTGTTGCTATTTTTTCTACTGCATTCTTCATGAACACCTAAGACACACCCAACCTAAATGGACGAGAAAAGTCGAAATCGAGGACAAGATGGCATTCAAATCGGCCTTCGCACTATTTAAAGGAACATGAGGAGGATGCAAGCATGCTCAGTTGCAAAAATCCCACCAGCGAAGCCCTCACTATCGATGTGCCTATCGTGATAATGGGAGTATAAGTGGCCCTCTGGCAAATACGCATATCAATGATAGTGAAGTTTATAGGGCCATGTTTACAACCTTTGCTTGTGAATCATTTATGGGTCTTAGGAAGGTTGCCAAATGCTTACTATCAAAACTATAGGATTAGTTAGTCTCGACAGAGAAGGAGCGAGGAAACTGGTGATATTCAGTCTTAGCTAGGCGGACGGAGTCCTGCAGCGCATACAGTCATATTAGGCAGGCGGTGAATGCCAGCAGAACCGCCGACAGTTGTTCAATTAAAGAAAAATTTCAGCTTGACTCCAACTGCTTAACTTGTAAAACAATATCTCTAGTTAGGGCTGAGGTTGTTCATTAATAATGGCTAGAAAAAGATGACAAAATGTAACATCATTTAGAGACGTTGAGGATATATAATGGCTGGGTGATAACTAACACTAATGTGCATCTCACACCATCACTATTTATCCTCACTCACCTTAAAAGTGTTTTGATCCCTGTATGTATGAGGTCTTGTATATACTAAACTAGAACATTGTCCAATGCACCTAAGAATTTCCAAGGTGAGTTGGACTTGGAGCATCCGGAAGCGGAAGCGGAACTTGCAAGCTTATCCATAAGCAGGTAATGACTCTGTGTATGCTGTTTACTCTTTGGGCTTATTGACCCTATTGAGTCTTTTATTTGTTAAGACCCTGCAATTCAAATCTATAGAAATAACGGGCATAGAAAGATTAAGCTGGCGAAGTGGCAAAGTGGTAAAAGTGGGTACGGCAGGGTCTTGGCCCACAAAAAGAGGAGCACGTTATGAACGGGTCAAGCCGCATGATAGGCTCAAAGCACTACGAGGGATTGCGATAGTCGCAACCCCGCGAATAGTCTTGGCGTCCAATAATTTCTCTTGATGATTTTTAACAGTAAAGGGAAGCATATAGAATGATACTTTTATAGGAAGTTGTACATATTAACGTTAAAGAAAGCAAAAAAATTGTGGCGTTCCGGGATGAACGCGGAGATGACAACTTAAACCGGGCCCCACGCCTTGCCCGATGCGGGTTAGATTATTAAAGCCAGTTTTGAGAGATACCCAGTTCTTTGCCTTCTTTTTCTTTCTCTTATCTCTCCAGAGTAGGGGTTACTGCCTGTGAACTGGTGACTCTTCTCTACCCTCTTCTCTACCTCAGTCGCCGCGCTATTGCAAGCTCTGGTACTATAAAATCCCGGTATGATCTAAACCAACTTAGATCCCCTAAATTCGACCGGCTCCAGGATTCCCTTCACCGAATCTCAGGATGCATAATCTTATAGCCAGATTTGCCTCCCGGCCAATCTACACGATTGCGCTGTCAGTCTTTACAATTCTCGGTCTCTTCTATCTATGGCGTGACTCCCCCGACTCCCAGATCACCCACGTGAAAACCGGTCCGATTGGAGATGCCTCCCCCAGAGGTAGCCACCCCATTGATGCTTTGATTGAAACTGCAGAGGCCGAACTAGAAGGTTTGTTGGCAAACGAGTCTGGCGACCTTGCATCCGCTGCCAAACGGTACCGATCACGCCATGGGCGTCACCCTCCGCCCGGATTTGCGGAGTGGTTTAAATTCGCGAAGTCGAAAAATGCCCTAATTATCGAGGAATTTTTCGACCAAATATACCATGACCTCTCCCCATACTGGGCCATCGAACCGAAGGAATTGCGCCGGCAAACAAGAAGTGTCCCCACTCGCATTGTTCTCCGCGACAGAGTTGCGAAAATAGTCACCGACGAACAGAGACCTTGGATGGATATCTGGCACAGTTTGGTCGAAACACTTCAGGATCGCCTTCCGGACCTCGACATGCCGATAAACGTTATGGATGAGACCCGTCTTGTTGTTCCCTGGGAGACAATCAACGAGTACATGGATAAGGAGAGATCGAGTAAGACCATCTTGGACGCAAAGGATGTCGTATCCGAGTATATGTCTCTGTCAAAGTGGGATAAAGAGACGCTGGAACCCTTCGACCCCGAATTCGGAGTTCCTGGCGAAGGGGGATATTGGTCTATGGCCCGTGTTGGATGTCCGGAAGGCAGCCCAGCACGAAACAGCGACATCGCCCGTATCAACTTTACCACCCCTCCCTGGGAATTTGAAAACTTCAACAGAATTTCATACCACGGCTATGTCTCAAATTTCACCTTGGCTAAAGATGCCTGTGTGCGCCCGGAGCTTCAGGCGTTACATGGCACCTTCATTGCGCCGGTGTCAGTATCGACCTCGCACAAGCTGCTCCCACTGTTCGGTGGGTCCAAGCTACCCATGAATAATGAGATCCTGCTTCCCCCAGCGATGTATTGGGCCGACAACGACTTTTACTCCGGAGGAGAAAAGAACCACGGCGGAGCCTGGGAAAAGAAATATGACAAGATTGTATGGCGCGGTGCTGCCACTGGAGGCCACACTCACGAAGACAACTGGTTCGGCTTCCAAAGACATCGATTCCTATCAATGATGAACTCGACCTCAGTGCAAAAGGCCGAGGAAGACGGGTACCACGGAGCGAACTTCAAACTCCCCAACTACAAAGACTACGGATTCAGCCCGAACATCTCTCTCACACAGCTCCTTGACGGACGCACCGAAACGGGCTTCATGCATCTGTTCTGTTCGGACCCGCACTGTCCCTACATGGATACATATTACGAAACGATGCCTGGGATGCCCATGAAGACGATGTATAACTACAAGTACATGCCCGATCTGGATGGAAACTCCTTCAGCGGCCGGTATCGAGGCTTCCTGCTCTCCACTTCTCTCCCGATCAAATCGACAATCTATAATGAATGGCATGACACACGTCTCATTCCATGGGTGCACTTCGTTCCGATGGATACCACCTACTTGGACGTATATGGGCTCATGGACTATTTCCTTAATGGCCATGATGATGTCGCCCGCAAGATCGCTCTTGCTGGCAAGAGCTGGGGTGAGAAGGTCCTTCGAAGAGAGGATATGCAGATTTACGTCTATCGACTGCTTCTGGAGTATGCTCGGGTTTGCGATGACCGGAGGGAATTCCTTGGATATGCCGATGACCTCAAGGTGCAGTGAGTGGTGATGGTGTTGACCGGGCAATTGTTGCTCTACGACAGTGGCCCGCAGGTCAACATCAAATCACATCTTCCAAGTCGCAACTGGTGAAGATCAGGTCGGAGATGAGACAAGAGTTTGTGAACTCACTATCATCCCGGAACCATATCCTGATATCATTCCAAGTGGTCATTCCTATGGCCCCCTGGACCATGATTCTCCGTATTCCCGGTTCATCCATGGTCCTGACCGTGATATCCGTGGCATTTCTCTCGATGCATCAGCAGAACTCCTTTGATGCGATGGTTGTTCCTTTCTAGAGCCTGGTGCTCAGTTGAATACTTTTTTGGTGGCTTTCCTGTTATGTGTGCTTGTTTTAATATATCGCATACCCTCGTGCGCGTCATGTTTGTTTTAATTTATTGATGACTACTGATAGAAACCATGTGGAATTTCGGACTTTGGACTTTTGGAGTGTATAGAAATGAAGATCTTTCGTCCCCGCCTCCTACACCTATCAAAAATTTAGCCTCATAATACCTATGAGCTTAGCAATCTGTTATGGATGAGAAGCCAAACCCATCAGGAAAGAGACTAATTACAAAAAGGCCCAGCCTAGTCAATTCGCTGAATGAAATTGAATATTCAACTCGCGTTCATAACCATCCCAATGCTGAGAAAATCAGCCAATGATCCAAGGAGCTAACTTGTAGAGAACCAATATTCGAACCCAGAATACATGTTTGATAGAAGACCATAAAGCCCGGATCACGACAGGGTGGTATCACACGGGAAGGGACAGTAGGGCCGACGTGGGGCTTACGCAAGCTAATGCCAGCAACAGTCAAGACTTCCACGTGATAAATTACAAAGCGACGAGGAGCAGTAGTAAAGACAGATGGGACGGGTGGAATTATAGCTTCATATACTCCGTAGACAACGTCGATACCTCCGAGGGATAGACATCACAGCCGAAGCTTAGGGCATTTCGAAGCGATCTGGGCCACCATAGGCTCTGATTGGGACCATAAGCGAAAGTCCCGATTCTTTGCTAGAAGCTAGTCTGTGAGCTAGTCTCTGCTGGAGGCGCTTGAACCTGTTTGTCCCCAAGGCAGCCACGCGACGCTATGGGGCACATTATTGAAGTGGCACTGGGGAAACCCTGGTCCGGATGCAGGCGGCGAACAGGCCGATTCACCAGCTTTTGTGGCTGAAAAGCATGAGACGTGTGGGTCAAGTTCTGCGTATCCCAAACAAAGACCCTTAACTTGGGGATTGAACAAGCCTTTGCTCGGCTGGATTCGCTCTTGCCGCTCAGCTGGATACTCCGGACTGTGATGCCAAATCATTTTCTTTGTTAAAACTAACCCCCTTTCATAAACTACCATTCCAGATCCCAAAGAGCTCCTAGCTCCCTGATTGCAAATGGCGCTGCACCTGGTGATGACGGTCTTCCAATGCTGTGGAAGTATGGAGTATAGCCAAACCATCACTACGATCTTGGTATCAATTAGTATTGGCTACCGTGCAAAGTTAGTAGAAAGGTGGGCGTGGCCTCCAAATTATTATGGCCTCCATTAGGTCCTCACATTCTATCATATAATGTATTAACTTATATGTTATACCTAGCTATAACTTATATAGTTGAGTTGTCTAATGTTGTAAGAATGACGTCACGTGTCTATTTTCGCGTCGAGCTCCTCATGACATCTTGACATCTTTGTCTCTCTTCCCCCTCGGACTCAAACTTCAAAATGTCGGGAAAAGTTCAAGATGCTGTAGTGGCCGAGGCTCAAACAGCACGGGCTGTTGTCCAGGATATTATCATGTCTGGGGCATACCTGTATCCCTTGAAGGTGAGCAGATGACCCAACATGCGCTTGCTCTAGGCCACTAATGACGGAACTCTTTAGGGGATCATATTCTTCGGAACACACAAAGAGCTCTGGGGTCCCTTCATCTCCCGCGCCGGACAGACCATCACACTCGGAGTAGGTGTTACAAGCGTGATGTTTTTCTTCACATACGTGCCTCAGATTGCGATCATGGCCTTCACCAGTGGCCCGCTAGCCGCCATTTCCGCCGCGATACTCGTCCTCGGCGAAAGCTCCGCCATCACAAACTTTCTATCACGCGCCTTCTTTGTAGAAGACGCCCTCATTGACACCTTTGATGGTACTCTCGTTGCCCGCGACCAGGAACCTCTTGTTGCACAAGGACGCCAAATCAAACCTCGTTCGGGAGGAATGGATGCAGTCGCCAGACTAGGGAAGATGTTCAGTCGGCCGCTTGCGCGTATGAAACCACGGGCGCTGCTGCGATCTCTGCTCTACTTGCCACTGAACCTGATCCCTGTGGTCGGGACGATGTTGTACATCTTTGTGCAGGGAAAGAGAATTGGACCGGGGTTCCATGCCAGGTATTTTCAACTGAAGGGTTGGAACTCTCAGCAGTGCGAGGAATGGGTGGCGAGCAAGCGGGGAGCATACACAGGGTGAGTGGGCTTTTCGCTTTGCATTCGTTCACTCTTTTTGGCTATTTTCTCTTTTTCGAATATACTGACCAGTATTTTAGACTCGGCATCGCATCGTGTGTATTGGAAATGGTACCATTTGCCTCGATTTTGTTTTCATTCACGAATACTGTTGGCGCGGCCTTGTGGGCAGCCGATTTGGAGAAGGCAACCAAGTAGTTGGTAGGTGGAGTATGATGAACCTTGATGAGTTGACTAGTCTATCCAATAATAATCATAATGATTGAGTTGATCTGTGTTCCGGTGATATTCAATTGCTTTATCTCATAAATATCACTCGGACTCATTAAGCAGATAGACTAGCTTAGACGCTCGGACTTTGCCTTCCCGTAGCATCTGGAGACCATCCAAAGCTCCGGCCAAGCCTCCTGGTTTCACTTGATATGGATGGGGAAGAATGCGTCGCTCTTCCAGGAGTTTCTGCGCTGCGGCCCACCATTTAATTCCGAACTCGAAATTGCTGGCATCAGGAGAGGTTTCTTGTGTTCCCATGCGGTAGGGCTCCCCCAGTACATCGTACGCCATTGAGACATGTGAGTCAACATCATCTCGTGCTGATCGGACATCTAGCAGGGCATTGTAACAACCTCCCGCAGAAGAGATGGCAGCACTGCAGATGGCAGCCGATTGGGGAGTAGAAATTGTATCAAGAACAAACTCCAGGGCATCATCAGTATCCTCCCTGATTTGTTCACCAACCTGAGGATCATGATAATCGAAGACAGCGTGTGCCCCAAGCTCAAACATTAAGCTGCGATTGGCTTCAGAGCATGTCGTCACCACTCGTAGTCCAGACAACTTTGCCAATTGAATAGCAAGCGTACCGGTGGCTGTTGCTCCTCCGTATATTAGGATATTGGCGTCTTCTAGTTCACCGGAATCGTCACCAGGGAAGGGCAGCTCCATGCTCTGATAAAGATTTTGACCAACGGTTGTCAAACCAACACCGAAGGTGGCAGCAGCCTCGAAACTCATGGTTTTCGGGATGTGAATTTGTATATCACCCTTGGCAATCACATATTCGGCGAATGCGCCGCCATTGGGACGGACTGCGTTGCTGCCATGAACAAATCCGGCCACGCGATCACCTTTCTTGAATGCCTTTTTGACCTGTGGACCGACGGCCTCCACTATTCCAGCATAATCGCAGCCAACTACGGCCCCTTTACATGGCACAAAGTCGATGTGACGCCAGTCTGTGGGATTCAAAGCCACTAGTTGGTATCTTAGTTACTGCGGACGGAAGAAGGGAGTAAACCCCAGCCAGAGAAAGAAATACCAGCTTTTGTTTTGACCAGAATGTAATTATCTGGCAGCTCCGGAAGCCGAACATCTTCGCTCAGTATTGCTCGACCTGGTTCCTGAACGATGATGGCACTCTGAGTAATCATATTCAATGTATGTCGTGATAGGGGAGAGGACGGTGAGAGATAAGACAGAAGGCCGACGTATTTGCCAAGGTAAATGGTCTAAGTAGTAAACTCTAACATATGTAGGGCCTATTTTGGTGTCTTTGCAAAGGATTTGGGGATGACCCAGACATTCCGGTCTAGCGAAATGGAAACTCCAATACCCACCTTCAATGGGGCTAAATCGAACCATTGACTTTGGTGGGCGGTGTGGGGTCTGTCTGGTTAGTGTGATTTCCCCATCTGAGTAAGATAGTCGAGATATTTCGTACATGGATAGTTCGTAGTGGGTGATCGATGTGGGGGGAAGAGTGGGTGCAAGTCCACCCCGGGTTGTTCTAAAGTCAGGTAATAGCATGAGAAGGACTGATATGGAAGCTTAAAAGGCTAGACTTCATCGGCCATGGTCCTTTGGCGACTGCACAATAGGCAAATCCTCCGTGCCGCCACGTTCAAGCCGTTCAAGCCGTTCAAGCCCGCGGGCCGGAGTAAGGGGTGAGAGCGGCCCAGGGTCCTTAGGGCCGAAACTTTGTCTAACTCATACAGGGAAAACACAAACAAAAAGCTCCCCGAAGTCCCAATTTTCTTCCTGAACTCGAGGAAAAACAAGTATCTACCGGGAGTCCGGAAAGGTGGGATCGGCCTCAATCAGGGGCTGGGAAGTGATCGTTCCCCACTGCGGAATGTGATTTTAGGATCTCACCAACAAATATTCCTGTACTAGCGATCGTCAGCTATGGCAGATAAGATTGGCTCGGTGCACTCCAGGCCACGAGTGTGGAGCCATGGCTGATGGAGCATGCATTCTATGAAGATCATTACCCCTAATTTGCATTACGGTGATCTTGAAATACAATGACCGAGACTGGTAAGCCCCTGTCTCAATACATCCTCCACTATCGACACTTTCTCTGTGCAACTCCGTGTATTGCACGGTCTAGATAGCCTTGACTTCCGCTGTACCTTTGCGCACTGGCGATCCGGTTCGTCGCATTCCCCACTTGGTAATTTGTTATGGGTTCACCCTCAACCGTACCTCCGGGTAGGTTTTTCGAAGTTGAACCAGAAGTTTATTGTATCTATATACCCAGTACTTAAAATCAATTATAATCAATCAACTCAAGACATTTAGCAGAACTGTAGAGTTTGAATTGCATGGATGGAGTCTCACCGGAGTGAAGACACAAGTTATATAGCGCTGTTTGGAGAGATTTGGGGCTCCACACACGTTCTCCGCTTGCTAGATAGCCAGTAAAACATGCATGTGAACTGCGAAGCTTCCCGCACTTATGTCACTAGCTTCTACACTACGATTCATGGCCTGAGTGAAACAAGGGCTTGCCGAGGCCAGCTGAGTAGCGCAACTCCGAGTATAATACCCCACAGCCTCCCAACTCTCCGACCTCAACAACCTTATCTATAATTTATTTGACGCTTACAAGATGCCCGGCCGACCGACCGCGACCTCGCCCAACCCAGAAATGGAGGGAATTGCAGTCATCGGAATCGGGTGTCGCTTTTCTGGAGGTGCAACATCCGTCGAGGATTTCTGGCAGATGCTATGTGAGGGACGTACTGGACACGGAACTATTCCCTCAAGCCGATATGAAGCTTCTGCCTGGCATCATCCGAGTCATGATCGCAAAGGCGCGGTATGTATTCCCCGTTGAGACCTACATAGTCATTATTCTCGGAATTACTCGAGCTGACAGATGATTAGATCAATCATGACAGCGGATTCTTCCTAGAAGAAGATCCCTCCCGCTTTGATGCACCCTTCTTCTCTATTACCGCCAAGGAGGCAGCGGGAATGGACCCAGCACAGCGTTTGCTGCTCGAGGTTGCATATGAAACTTTTGAGAACGGTCAGTCAGATCCATACCTGAAATCGCAGGAAGACCAAACGAGCTAAGATTGGCATGACAGGCGGTATTCCAATCGACTCACTTCCAGGGAGTAACACAGCAGTGTATTCCGGGTCAATGACCAATGATTATGAGCTATTATCAACTAGAGATATTTATGATATGCCTCATAACTCGGCAACTGGAAATGGAAGGACTATGCTGGCAAATCGTTTGTCATGGTTCTTCGATCTCCAAGGCCCCAGTATCATGATGGACACTGCGTGTTCCTCAAGTTTGACTGCGGTGCATCTAGCAGCCCAGTCTCTACGTTCTGGCGAGTGCGGAATGGTACGTACTAGCCTCTTACCCAGTCTGAGTCGAGCTTACAATTGGAGTTATAGGCACTAGTGACCGGAGCCAGCCTAATTTTACACCCTAATTTCACACAAAGGCTCTCCTACATGCATATGATGAGTCCAGATGGCACAAGTCACTCATTCGATGAGTCTGCAAATGGATATGGCCGAGGAGAAGGTATTGGCGCAGTGCTTTTAAAGCCTCTCAGTGCGGCTTTGGCCGACGGAGACAACATTCGAGCCGTCATCCGCGGTACAGGGATTAACCAGGATGGTCGTACGCCTGGAATTACCTTGCCAAGCCCGACATCACAAGCCAACTTGATCCGTTCGACATATGAGCGGCACGGAATTTCAATGAAAGATACTGCATACTTCGAAGCACATGGGACTGGTACTCCGGTCGGAGTAAGTTAACCATCCCTGTCAACACCCACGTGGGGTTTCAATCTCTAAACTGATTTTATAGGATCCCATAGAGCTGTCTGCTGTTGGGATGACTTTGGGGGAGGCAAGGTCAGCAACCGATGAGCCGATATACGTAGGCTCCGTGAAGACAAACCTCGGTCACACTGAAGGAGCTGCAGGTGTGGCTAGTTTGATCAAGGTCGTTCTCTGTTTGGAAAAGGCCACATTAGTACCAAATGCCGGCTTCAAAAACATTAACCCTAAGATCCGTCTCGACGATTGGCGTTTGCGCCTGAGCGACAAAACGATACCTTGGCCAGATCATCTGCCACAACGGGCCAGTATTAACTCATTTGGATTCGGTGGATCAAATGCGCACGTCATCATTGAAAGCACCAAAGAAGCCCTCAGGGGAAATGATGAAGACAGAGAGCCTCCTCCGCGTGTTGTGGTTTTCTCTACTTTTGACCAAGCTGGCATTGACCGACTGGGTCAAAATTGGAGCAGCTTCGTCCAACGTCAGCAAAAGGCTGAGCAAGAGATCCCAATGAAAGATCTTGCGCATACTATGCTGAATCGCCGTTCCCAATTGGGCTTCCGCAGCTTTGCAGTTGCCAACACAGGGGATCAGCTTGGGGAGATCCTGGAAAAGGGCCTTCCCAAGTTTGCTCGAGCCAGTCGCAAGGTTCACACGCGAATTGCCTTTGTTTTCACTGGTCAGGGTGGCCAGTGGGCCGGCATGGGCCGTGAGCTCTTGAGGACCGCAGTCTTCAAAGAAAGCATGGCGCGTTCACAAGAGATTCTTTCATCTATGGGATGTCCCTTCAACATTGTTGAGGAGATTCGAGCCGAAGCAAAGGATAGCCGTATCAACCGACCTGATCGCAGCCAGCCTATAACTTGTTCCTTGCAGATTGCGTTGGTTGATCTTTTGGCCAGCTGGTCCGTTTATCCCAACGCAGTTGTTGGACACTCCAGTGGTGAGATTGGTATGTGACCCTACCATGCACTTGCTTGCAATTCCAATTGGAACCAGTAGCTGACATGAATGTACCCTATAGCTGCCGCCTATGCTGCTGGGTATCTTTCCCACGCAGATGCCATGCGAGTCGCATGGTTCCGCGGCTTCTTTTCGCAGCAGATTGCTGAGAGTGACAAACGGGGAGGTATGCTCGCTACTGGAATCTCGGCAGCAGACGCACAGAAGTATCTCGATGAACTTCCACCGAGATCGGTCGTTGTTGCCTGCGTTAACAGTCCTGCCAGTACAACACTTTCAGGTGACGTGGACCTCATTGACCAGCTTGAAGTAAGGCTACAGAAGGATGGTCACTTTGCCCGAAAGCTGCGCATTGACACAGCTTATCACTCCCCTCATATGGAAGAGTTAGTTGAGGTAGTTGGAAATGCCATCGATTGCATCAAGCCGGAAGATCGACACAATGGCTCGATTCCCATGCTTTCATCCGTCACAAAGGAGCGTGTCCATTCTGCCGAGCTTGGTGGATCATATTGGGTACGAAACATGGTCAGCTCGGTTGAATTTACCGCCGCAGTCTCGCAACTCGCAAACCTTAGCGAGTCTAACAAGGCTCGCCGTCGGCCGGTCCCTATCAAATGGACCTCCCTGGTTGAGATTGGCCCTCACGCAGTGCTCAAGGGACCAGTCACTCAGATCTTGAAATCTGTCAACGCGAGCATGGCATCTCTCCCATATCACTCGTTGGTGTCGCGTAACCAACACGCTTTGCGAACGTCGCTCGAAACTGCTGGCTCTCTTTGGAGCACAGGACATGATGTAAACCTCGCTGCGGTCAACAGTAGTGTTGATAGCACAACGCCAACAGTGGTTTCTGATCTGCCTTCATATCCTTGGAATCACCAAACATCATTTTGGCACGAGCCGCTGGAGACAGCACAGCTGAGACAGCGCAAACATCCGCGTCATGATATTTTGGGTGCTCCCCTGGACTACCAAAATGCCTTGGAGCCACGGTGGAGGAACTTCTTGCGCCTGTCAGAGAATCCTTGGATGGCCGATCACGTCGTGGCTGGGTCGATTGTTTTCCCAGCTGCGGGTATGCTTGTGATGGCCACTGAGGCGGCACGGCAGCTCGCCGATGATCAAGCCAAGGTGAGAGGAATCGAGTTCCAGGACGTTCGCTTTATGCGCGGAGTGGTGATTCCCGAGGAAGACCGAGGCCTGGAAACCGTTCTTCAGGTCTCCCCTCACCCAGGAATACCGGGCTGGTATAATTTTGGTATCTTCTCTCTTCCATCTGGGGGATCCTGGATTCAACACGCGAAGGGTGCATTCACTATGCGATACGAGAACCGAGAAGATGATGAACTTACTGCAAACTGGGAAGCCGCTGTGGCGCGCATCAAGGAAACACAGTCAAGTGCGCGAAAGGCCGATATTGGGCAGGCCTACCAATGGTTATCTCACACCGGAGGACTGACAGTCGGCCCTTCCTTCAAGACTATCACAGGCGTCTCATTCTGTGAATCAGAGCCCCGTCTGTGGCTATCTGGTGTTGTCACAGAAACAAAGCAAGCAATGCCCTACGAAGTGGAGACGCCCAGTTTCATTCATCCCACAACACTTGATTGCCTCTTCCAGTCTGCCCTTCTATCTTGTTCCGAGGCTCTGTCGAGCAGCAACGCCAACATCCCCGTCGGAGTGGACCATATCTATATCGCCGATGCCTTCCAGCCACAATCAGGTGAGCAGTTTGCTGTCCACACCGAAACTCAGTGGCGAGATGGCAAGTCCCGATCTAGGTGTATTGCGTCAGATCCTTCCTGGACACAGCCCTGGATCACATTCGAAGGTGTTCACCTTGGCCGACTTCCCTTTAACCCCAACTCGCAAAAGCAAGAGGAAGTCACCTCTGACAGCAGATATTCTTCCATTGTTTGGGATGAACACTTGGAGTCACCCATCGTCACTGGTCGAACCCCGTCTGACGGCAACAAAGGAACGGTTGTGGAAACCAGCGATTTGCAGCTGGGAGACTGGATCAAGCGCATGTGTCATACAAACGGAGATGTCAAGGCGTTGATAACGACCGCGAACACAAGTTATTCGTGGGTCGAAGACCTGGAGATGGCACCAGGTGCCGGAAAGCGGCCATGTCTAGGAAAGCTCACGGTTGCCTTGTGTGGCTCCAAGGATGAAGAGAAGAACCATACCCAGAAGAACCTCGTGGGAACTCAGGTTGTGCCCCTCAATGCACTTGGTGAACTTCCATCCTCATCTCTTGCCGAACAGACATTTGATCTTGTCGTTATCGACGAGCTCAGTCTGTGGGAAGGCAAAACCCTACAAGCGATTGCTTCGCTCCTTCCCACCATTCTTGAACATGGAGGCTTCGCAGCAATGCGCGTCTCGGATGAGAATATCGAATCTGCAGTCGAGACGTTACAGCGAGTCAATGGTCTGGACATCCACAGTATGACTGAGGATCGCAACTTTGTCATCACACGCAAGACGCCCGTCCAATGGGCCACAGACTCGGAGATCTATATCTTGAGTCCAACAGACAAGTCCAACTCTTTCCCCGTGTTTGACCACCTTGAGAAGATCTTCGCCACCCATAATGTTCGCCTAGTCTCTGTTGGATTAGACCAGGTACCTGCATTGGAAAATAAGACTGTGATTTCGTTGCTGGATTTGGCCGGCCCCTGGGTATCCGAGTGGGCGGCCGATGATCTGAGACATCTCCAAGAGCTAATCCGTGCACAATACGTTCTTTGGATCTCACCATTCTGGGGTCAAGGAGGCGTTGAAAACATAGGATCAGGTGCAACGGGCGGTCTTCTGCGAACACTTCGCAACGAGCATTGGAATACTACTATTCCACAGCTGCTTGTGGATGCCGAAGATTTGCAAGACCAATTCGGATTAGCTTGTGGAATTTTGCAGGTTATGCAGCTTACCACGCAGCAAAACTCACGCCGTCCAGACATGGAGTATCGTCTCTCCAATGGTCGACTTTTGATCCCACGTGTCCTTGAGACATCTGCAGTGGATGAGGCTATGCAGACACTGGTCAATGGCCCCAAGCCTGTGCTAGCAGATCTGGCACTGGACCCGAGACCCCTTGAATTGACGATCAAGGACACAAACCGTGCGCACTGGACGGAGCAACAAGTTCCCGAAGGGCAACTTCCACCAGATCATGCCGAGATCAAGGTTGAGATGGCCACAATTTTTGACCTGAATGGTGAACTGGGCAAGACGCCAGAGACTGTTCTCCCAATGATTGAAGTTTCTGGAAAGGTCACCCGCATTGGATCTGGGGTGAACGATCTCAACGTTGGTGACAAGGTTCTGACGCTGTCCTCGGCAAAATCTGGGCTTTCCACGAAGATTCGCGTGCCGGAGAGCGACACTATCAGAATACCAGCAAACACAGATCTCGCACAGGCGATCTCAACTCCTCTCGCGTATCTCAACGCGTATCAAATCCTCACCGAAGTTGGTCACCTGCGCTCAAATTCCTCTGTCCTTTTGGTTGGGTCAATCAGCCAAACTCTTCGAGCCATGATTGACTACGCGCTTGCCATGGATATGCATGTTATCGTGGCTACTGATTCCCAAAATACTTCTGATATTCTCTCCTCGCGCTACCCAAGTCTACAGGATCGGATCCTTGGTATACACGGCAGCCTGGAAGCAAGTGTATCTCGGCTGACCAACGGAAGTGGTGTTGAAGCTGCCATAGGCTTCCTGGGCGGATATTCGGGCCGGGTTGCGGCAAGATGCTTGGTCCAAGGCGGCCAGTATATCAACTTGTCCAGCGATATGAAGTTGAGTGCTTTGCCAGAGAGCTTTATTGAAAGTGGTTGCACTTTCTCCTCGCCAAAACTGCAAAGAACATTCTCAGAGAAGCCTGGTAGCCTTCACGCCTCGGTTAGGCACGTCATCGACTTCATGAAGAAGCACAAAATGCTGGAGCGTGTAGAGCCCTACGCTACTTTCCCTGTTGCTGATGTACAGGCAGCTCTGAGGTATTGCAAAGAGACTGATACCCGAGCCATAGTGGACCTTCAGGCTCCGGGTCAAGTTCCAATCGTGCTCCCACTTCCAGAGCTTGCTGCTTTGCCGGCGGATCAGACCTACATACTGGCTGGTGGACTAGGAAATCTTGGCCTTGCGCTTGCTGAGACTTTAGTACTGTCTGGAGCCCGCCATTTGGTATTCCTGGGCAGATCTGGTGGGGTTCAGCATGATCAGCAGCTCGCCCTTGATCGGCTTCGTGGTCGCGGATGCAGCATCGATGTGGTACGCTGTGATATTTCCAGGAGAGGAGACATTGATCATCTTGAATCAAAGATTCGCAACAAAAGGTGGACAGTCGGAGGTGTGATTCAGTGCACAACAGTCCTTAAGGTAACCCACTGTGATCTTATCTATTTCTTTACACCAGCTGAGTCGTTTCAATCTGCAGGATACAATGTTCGAAAACATGTCGTTTGATGATTGGACCCAATCGACTGAGTCCAAGGTTCGCGGGACATTGAACTTGCACCATCTCTTCTCCAAGCAAGAAAGCTTGAAATTCTTCGTGGCGCTATCATCCGTCGCGAGTGTCATTGGAAATATGGGCCAAGCTAACTACTCTGCTGGAAATGGTTTCATTGATGCTCTCATGGAATGGCGACGAGGCAATGGCCTTCCCGGCCATTCCATCAACATTGGCCTCGTCCCAGATGCCAGTGGTCTCAGTGATATCAACGAAGATCAAGAGCAGCGCCGCCGCCGCTACAAGCACCTTGAGGGCACAGAAATCATGACGCACGAGCTTCAGACCTTGCTGCGCGTGATCATCAACAGCAAGCTCTCTCTGCCTCCCCAAATTGTAGCTGGCATGACCGACTCCCTGTCACGCAAAAGTGCTCCTTCCGCGTGGCTTTTCGATCGAAAGTTCGACCACAGGCTTGCCCTGGCTGTTGAACAAAACGAGACAACCGAAATCCTCACCAGTACTTTGCTGAAGGAGTCTGGCTCCGTTGATGCGGCAGCTCAGATTGTCGTCGACGCTCTCAGTGAATATCTGGCACATGCAATGGCTACGACAGCTGATTCTATTGACCCGGATTTACCATTGTCTGCCTTGGGTGGTATGTCTCCATGATACCCTGCCACCGTGATCTTTCCGTTTACTAACTATACTCTCTAGTGGATTCCCTCAAAGCTACAGACGTGCAGAACTGGGTCTCACGTGAATTGGGGGCTGAATTATCCTCTTTCGAATTCCTTGGATCACAACCGACCAAGGCATTAGCAAGGAAGATCGCCTCAGCTAGCTCTTTTGTCTCCGAATCGAGCTGAAGCAATAGTGCCGTCTAGCCTGGATGATTAGGAAACTGTTTAATAATGATAGACTTTATTAATTCGTATTTTAAAACAATGTTTAATACCCTTGAGATTCACTGACTATTCTCGTGTTCGACTTTCCGTGTCTTAGCCCCTGTCTCTTGTGTTGATCCTATGTAAGAGTATTGGCGATGTCAAATATGTAAAATGATGTATATTACTTACAATACCGCGTCATGAAATGTTAGGCCCCAGTGCCCCCAATAGTTCGTGAACTATGCACGAAGGTCCACAGTGATGGCCTATCGTCAGCTTCCACGGTGGAACTGGTGGATCTCGGGATATGCCCGTCACTCCCTTGGCCGCCTCACAAGCCAGTCGGGATGCCGCTCAGCCTCAGAGGATTCGGAGCTATGCAGGTGCAAAAGCAGATGCAGATCAAGAACGGAGTATAGTAAAAGGGGCGTGGGAAGGAAGACGCGGTTCGTTGGCGGTGAACGTATAAGCGGCAGAGTACGCGACTTCGCTCCACCGAACTAACCTCGCGTCAATGACAGATCGGGGCGATCAGTTCATCAGAGTAACAGAGCTCAGCTCACCGGTGTCTTTTCTCGCCATTCGGCCGTCAGTGGCCGGACACTGTACGATGTGGTCCCCTGAAAGGATCTCGGAGATCTTTCGAAGCGAATGGGAAAGCAAACCGTGATGCTAGAGAAGCTTTGTACTTTTGACCGGCACGGGTGGGCTGCATATTTTCCACGAGAATGATCTCCCTTGCTGCCGCACGGAATATCGGCATTTGACACCGATTGCTACATGTACTGTATAGTCTCACGTTTGGACAAAATTCAGTACCGAGCTCTCCCTTCGCCCTTTTTTTCGTCAACGGGAAATATTCGGCGCCAAGGTCTCACAAATTGGGAGGAGTCGGTGACTCGGGGTCTGTCGAGGTACATCAGGGCGATCCCGAGGTTCTCCGAATTTGTGAAAATTCAGCTCAAAGCCAATAAGACATGCGGCCGGCCAAGATGTACAATGAGGGGAAGATTGTCGATCTTTTGGCTGGACTGTGGTCAATGGACCCAGCTGGCGCTATGATCAGCGGCAAAGTAACTACTGCAGGTAAAGTCATTGGTGCCAGGGCCGTGTCTTCTGGACACTATGTTTCTAGGGCAATGCATATCCACACCGTGGAGCCATCTTAGCTACGGGATATGGGACCCTCTTTGCCATGCAAACCGGGAACTATGGGTTCTTGCGAGGAACTTTCCGAAATTCTGATCTGGCTATGGCGCTGGCGCATGACCTTTCTTGATCTCCCACAAAAAATTTACTCCCTTTCCGCATTCAATTCCGCACACCTTCGTTCCTCTTCGTCCCTGCTCATTGCCTTCAGCCATGGCAGACCCAGAGAAGAACGGTGTGGCCATGCCGAAACACCCAGCAAGGGTAGTCCACAACAACTCCAATTCCGTAGGGACCATTTTCTCGGACCACGGAAAGCTTGTGGACGACTACTCTTCTAAGGAACTCCGAAGTGGCCACACCTCTGTCGACCTAAGTGATTTGGAGGCTCAGAAGGCCACCGAACCTCGACGGAAGCATTTTGCGCACTTCAGATATGCTGTCTTTACTGTCTATCGACGGCTCTTCACTTTTGTCATGTGCGCAAATTTAGCATGCTTCGTCTATGTGATGGTCTCCAATCGACAGCTCGTGGCACTGGTGGATGCCACTGCTGTGAACTTGGTGGCGTGTGGTCTCGCCCGACACCCAATGGTTATCAACGGCATCTATAGGGTTGTCTGTTCGCTACCTAGGTCAGCACCACTTTGCTTGCGCCGCATGGCAGCTAAAGCGGCCCATTACGGCGGTGTCCATAGTGGCTGTGGTGTTGCATCATTAATCTGGTACATTGGATTTGTTGCTATGGTTTCAAAACTATATTGGACATCATCTCCCATTAGCGCATTGTCGAGTGTCACTTTCACGGCTGCGCCGATTGCTATCGCCTACATCATTCTTTTCCTGTTGTTCGTGATGGTAGTCGTGGCATATCCCTCGTTCCGCAGAAAGATGCACGATTACTTCGAGCTCACCCACCGCTTCACCTCATGGCTTATTCTAGCCCTCTTTGTTGCCCTTCTCATGCTGTTTGCCCATGAAGTCAGTACAGCACAGAAGCAGACCATGGGCTACTTCCTCGTTACTCTGCCCGCATTCTGGCTTTTGATTGCGGCCATTGTGGCCGTAGTCCACCCATGGCTCCTACTGCGAAAGGTACCAGTGGAACCCGAGCCTCTCTCTTCACACGCCGTGCGATTGTCCTTCAACCACACGCCAATCAGCTTCGCGAAGGGTATTCAAGTCACGAAGAACCCTCTCCGCGACTGGCACAGCTTCGCCGGCTTCCCAGATCCCATCCCAGAGCCTGTTGAAGAGCCTACACCGGAGCCCGCTCCAGAGCACGGGCCCGCCCCTGGTCGACAATCTGCCCAATTCAAAAAGGGCCACAGGAGAAGCTTCTCAATTGTGGTATCAAAGGCAGGAGATTGGACCGCCGATACTATCGAGAACCCACCAAAGGAGCTCTGGAAACGGGGTTCACTGATGCGCGGCGTTGGCTACGGTCTACGTCTCTTCAACCGCATTATCATTGTGACCACAGGTTCCGGCATTGGACCCTGCCTAGGATTCCTTGGCGATGAAAACCGACCTGCCATCAAGGTTATCTGGCAGACACGTACCCCGGAAAAGACATACGGCCAAGATGTTATTGATCTCGTTCATAAGATGGGCCCTGATCCAATCATCTGGGATACATCTCTGATGGGCCGCATTGACATGATCCCTATGGTGCGCCAGCAATACAGGGAGTTTAACGCGGAGGCAGTGTTCGTGATTAGCAACCCTTCGATGACCCAAAAAATTGTTTACGATTTCGAATCTCAAGGGATCCCGGCTTATGGCCCGATCTTTGATTCATGATATACGTTCTTACGTTTTGATTTTCTCTTTGGGCGGTTTATAATATTTCTGTTTACGCAACGTATATACGAAAGCCATATGCAGCTCCTTTAGTTTACAACAATCACCCTAGTGAATGAATATATTTTAATGATCCCTTTTTTTTGGATACTGTGTTTAATGGCTATAGAATCATTTACTAGCTGGACCAGACGGCCCGACAAAATGAACGACCCGGTGTTATTCATCGCTACTCAACTGAAACACTGCTTCGCTGTCCCTTAAAAGAGCAGTGCCCTGCCCTATAGGGTCCTATCGAAAACATCTCAGGGGCCTATCAATCAATCGCTCGAGCACTCTAGTTGCGTACACTTCTGCTCTGAGAATGTAGCGACCGGCCCTGCGCAGCACGCTCCCCTTGATGGGGGATATCGTCAATTACGTACAGTAGGCGGCCCTAAAGCTAATCCACCTGGTGGACTGCTCACACCATGGGCCAACATTGAAACTGGCTGCGTGAAGATCCAAGACTTGATGGCGGTAATACCCGGATGTTCAGACATTTCGAAGATCGGATATCATGAAAGAAGTGCATATTGGCTAGCAATCACCGCAGCCCCGCCCGATCTGCCCACGGCAGATCCTAATGTTAGCCAGAGGAAGGATATAACCTTATTTGAACAGTCACCTATGGAGGCGACCGAGCTTCACGAAAGGTCAGGAACTGTCGTGCCTTACCTGAGAATGACGAATCATGCATCATTGCCGACAAGAAATGGCGATAACCGGGTTTTCTCTTTAATACTTGAATTTATGGTTCCGACCAAACAGTGACTTCCCATAACGCTTGGTGAAAATTGTACCGCCCTTTGCCAGGCTACATTGTTGTGGCCTGAGGGTGGCTGTGACATTATAAAAACACCGCTTCATCCAAAAGAGCCATGTCTCATAACTGCCTCAATAAACACTGTCGCCATATATTTTGGTACCTATCTGTCATTAGCCATGCCATCATGATACTGTAGCAAATTGAGGCTGATTCACAAAAAGTGTACCAAAGAGCCTGAACCAACTGCAAAAGGGAGAGGAGGCAATCCAAGACCCTGGAAAATATCGCTTTTTCTTTCTTCATTCTATTATTATAAGAGAGGCTCCTTTACGAAATGCGATGCCCTCCACAGACCGAGATCAATGCACATAGAGGGCTGTTCACCCGCATGGCGCGCGGGCTGTTCCGGTGGCTTTAGCACAAAGAAATACTGTAGCGCAGTATCAAGGATTATCCAGGTGCAAGACATTCGCGTCCGCTACCGGCTAATGCGCGCAATGTTGACGCCGTGCCCTACAGTATGACTTAACACGGCGACAATAGCTTGCATCTTGGTACCGCTTCCGACTCCCGAAGCTCCACTCCGCGGAACCTTGGCTCAGTGAATTTGAAGAGATGTCATAATTGGCATTTGAAGCTCCGTTTTTGATGTCGGCTTGGTATTGACATGCGGCACGCGGTGTGGTGAACTTGATTAATCCGTAAGTACTCCGTATTGTGGAGGATTTCCAGAGCTGCAAATGGAAATGAAAACGTCAATTTGCCAAGTGATTGGTTCTATGGATTTCATTCCAAAATAACAAGCCAAGGGGATTTATTCTTGGCGCAATTTCCACACCAATGAAATCTGGCCTAGTGTGAGACACGCAGCCTCATTTCCCTGAGGTTCTGTAGCAATCAATTTCCCATGTAACGTTGTCTACTGTACTTTTCAGGTTCATCTAGACATCACGTACGGTCGGGTCTCTTGTGTGCATGAAATTTTATTCTTGACTGAGTCATCTATCAAATGCAACAGGGCAAGAAGAGCATGCTGAAGAGTTAGGCCCCCAAAACATGTCTATCCAGAATTGTAACGTTAATCCGGATCGAAGCCTGGGGCGAGGTTTAGGGGTTTCCATGCCTCCCATTGGACGATGACTTGAGCTAGCCTGCGCAGGTAGCCTGCGTCTGCCTCCAGGCTAATTATTGAGGGATCTAAGCGCTAGTCAGAAAAGAAATATTTCTTTCTCTTTCTCTCCATCATGCCCTGCCGCGCAGGAAAATCCCATCATGAAGAGTGGAATCCTCGATCGAAACAGACACAGATCTCACAGCCATAGTCATCGGAGGCATATCGGGAGATCCTTAATCTCACGGATCAGGCACCGGCCTTTTACATCGGGATGCTTGATCATTGTGATCGCATTCCTTTTGATAACGGGAGTTCGCAATTATCCAACTGGTTTGTCCCCCGCGGCCGCCATTTTGGAGTGAAAGATGTTTTTTATTCCATTGTTATTGGACGCTAATCAGGATGGAATCATTAGCCAACAGGGTAGCACGTAAAAAAGCGCAATTTGAGCTGGTTCAGAGGACCAAGAACTATAACGCTCATTCCACGAATGTAGGCGTCGTTATACCAAAAATACGCTCAGATGACGTGCGGTGGCTTTGGAAATACCTCAAGCAACAGTACGTGACAGCTATGGCTTGTTCCTCAGGCGTGCTAACAAGAAAGCCGTTCTCAGTAATGACACCACTGCTTTTATTTACTCCACTGACAAACGGCCCGAACTGGATCTACATCTTGCACATTCTCGTCGCGGTCGCGAAGTCTCCGCGTACCTCTCCTACGTTATTGACTACTATGACGACCTACCCCCATACTCGATCTTCATTCACGCGGACGAAAAGCAACGACACAACGACTTGTTTGGGCCCAAGACAAGTACAATACTGCAAAACCTGCGCCCCGAAGCCGTGGAAGCAAAGGGATACCTGAACCTGCGCTGTATGCATTCTCCGGGCTGTCCAAGTCATGTTTCGCCAAACAACCCCACGAAATCCGACATTAAAGCCGGCGATGCCCGCGCACACTTTGCACGAATATATCGGGAGCTCTTTGGAATGAACGTGGTAGTTCCGGATTCGATCGGGGCACCCTGTTGTGCCCAGTTCGCGGTAAGTCGAACCCAAATTCGGCGACGACCAAAGAGCGATTATGTTCACATGATGGATTGGGTGGATGGGGCAAGTGCACGGCTAATAGATAGTTATGCCGTTGGTTGGGTTTTTGAAAGCCTATGGCATGTGGTGTTTGGTATGGAAGCAATTGAGTGAGTGGTTCATCTTCCGGGAAACAATGCTTTTGGTGCCGGAGTACTAACAACATCCAGATGTCCTAATTATGAACAATGTCGTTGCGATAACTACGGATGGTGCGGACCTCTGGCTTCCGGAAAGGTTTTGACACCAATCAGACCAGGAGGCATGAACCAGACGGACATCGGACCGTGATCACTTGCAACTGACAGATGGTGCATATCTGAGGCGCAGGGATATTTTATAATCCTATCTTTTCGGAGTCACAAGAATACCATTTCAAGGCGTTATCTCGGTTTTCGTGGAGATCTTTCGTGCTATCTAAAATTTTGAAGAACGAACGTTGTGCGCTTATCCAATCGTCGTTTGATTGGTTGGGTGCAATGTGAGCTGCCATCTGCTTCATCCATCACATTGAGCGCGAATGCTCTCTAGTCACAATGACATTCAATTGGAGTTTTCCTCGGTGGAAGTGCGACGACCGATCGAAGCAAATCCCGGCTGGCATTATGCCAAGCCCACGACAGGCGAGTTGTGATTCAACAAGAGCACAGGGCATTACAAACATAATGCCCCGTGATAAAAGGCAGAGCAGGATTACAGTATACATGTACACCCGTCCTCTCGCCCAATATCTTTTCGAGCCGAAGCCCCTTTAGTGGGGCTTCAATCCACAACAAAGAACAGGGGTGAAACGAGTCCTAAACCTAGCCAGAGCCGTTGAATATTACAATATGGATTGTTTCAACAATAAAAAAAAACTGGAGATTTTATTCACTCATTCAAGTAATTACGTCTTTTCCATACAAATAACCAATGTTGATGATTGCTCGCGACCTTCTGGATCAGATTTCATCGCCAAGATCCACTTGGTCTCGTATGCATGCAGTGACCCCGCGAATAGTCTTCGAAAATCTTCTTCTTCTGGCAATTCCAGGTCGATCCCTATTGAGATCCTCGCAACTATAGAACTATTGATTTACTCATGCCCAAAAAAGTGCGATCGTCGTGCTCGAAATGTCAGAATTTGAACACCTCGGTTCTTGCATACAACGTGCAGTGGGGTTGGCTGAATGCTACCAATGAGTTATATAGACAAGCTCGAGGTGGAGAAATGGTTAGATGAGATCTTCGGTCTTCCAACTTTTTGCTCCGGAATTTTATAAGCCATGTATATTAGCCGACTCCTTGGGCTGGCCGCAGCCTCTGTAGGCCTCGTCAAGGCTGTTGAGCTAACAGGCTACGAATATGTCGTCGTGGGTTCAGGGGCCGGAGGAGGCCCGCTGGCTGCTCGACTTGCACTTGCCGGCCACAAGACATTGCTGATTGAAGCCGGCGATGACCAGGGTCACAACGTCAACTACACTGTGCCGGCCTTCTCTGCCAAGGCATCCGAAGATGAAGCTATGGCATGGAACTTCTTTGTCCGTCACTATGCAGACAACGACCGACAGGCCCTGGACTACAAGACCACATACGAGACTCCGGATGGCGGCGAGTATACCGGACTAAACCCGCCAGAGGGTTCAACCATGAAAGGCACATTATACCCCCGTACCGGGACTCTTGGTGGCTGCACTGCCCACAATGCTATGGTCGCCGTCTATCCACACGAGTCCGACTTCGAATACCTCGCCACACTCACCGGAGATAGTTCATGGTCACCAGACAACATGCGCAAGTATTTCAAGCGAATGGAGAACAATAACTACCTCCTCCCGCTAGCTAAAGGCCACGGCTATGACGGCTGGCTGGGAACTGAAACTGCGCCTCTGAGCATCGTATTGGGAGACCCTGAGCTTTTGAGCCTGCTCTTGGGTGGAGCTTTCTCTTTGGGCAATGTGACCAACACTGTTTTCAACCTAGGCACACTGCTTGTTGGCGATGCAAACCAGGACTCTAAGCTCCGTGACACCACTCCGGGATACTACCAGATTCCGATTTCCTCGGACGGCAATAGTCGCAATGGTCCTCGCGAGTTTATCACTGCTGTGCGCGATGCCACTAACAAGGACGGGTCTAAGAGATACCCTCTCGATGTTCGGACCAATTGCTATGTTACCAAGGTAACTTTTGACGAGTCTGTTAGTCCGCCGCGGGCTTCGGGCGTGGAATTTCTCGACGGCCAATACCTTTACCGCGCCAGCCCACGCTCTAACAACGCCGGGAGCGGCACCGCCGGCTCTGTTAAAGCCTCGCGCGAAGTCATCGTCGCTGGAGGTACCTATAACTCACCTCAAATTCTCAAGCTGAGCGGGGTGGGACCGGCAGACGAGCTGCGCAAATTTGGAATCAAAGTGATCTCCGACCTTCCTGGTGTCGGCACCAATCTCCAGGACCACTATGAGACCGCTGTGCAGGGTCACATTCCCAATAACTGGACAGCACTTGACGGATGCACCTTTGATCACGGTAGTGATCCTTGCCTGGAGCGCTGGGAAAAGAATGGATTGGGTGGTCGTGGGGTCTATTCGTCTGACGGATTTGCAGCCGCAATGTTTTATAAGAGTTCCGTCACTGCAGATGACAGCTACGACGTCTTTGTGTTTGGCGGACCAATCAACTTCCGTGGCTATTTCCCAGGATACAGTATCAACATTACTGAGCGCCATGATTGGTTCTCCTGGGCGGTTCTTAAGGCACACCCACGCAACCAAGCCGGATCTGTGACTCTTCGCTCGGCTGATCCACTTGACATGCCCGAGATTGTTTTCAACTCTTTCGATACCGGCAGTGGAGATTATGAGAAAGACTTACAGGCAATTACTGAGGCTATTGGCGTTGCCCGTGGTGCCTTTGACCGTCAGCTGGTTGAAGTGTCTGAAGTACTTCCTGGTGACGATGTCCAGACCGAGGAAGAGATCCATGATTATATCAAGAACACCGCGTGGGGTCATCACGCGTCATGCACGTGTCCTATCGGAACAGATAGTGATCCTATGGCTGTGCTTGATTCGAATTTCCAGGTGCGGGGTGTCACAGGACTTCGTGTCGTCGATGCCTCAGTGTACCCTCGTATCCCAGGAACTTTCACCGCCGTCTCGACTTACATGGTGGCTGAGAAGGCGGCCGATGTGATTCTAGACGCAGTTAAGGCAAGCGCATGAGTATATCTGGTATTGCGCTCGGGATTGAGGATGATAGATAAGACGTGAGGGAAGGATACGTTTGGGTCTATCATTTGTACATAGAATATAATCTACTTCCGCCAACCAGAAGCATCTGGTAATTATCTGAGCAAGTATCCATGTTAACATCATTGTACCAAGTTGAGAGTGTTCTTCTGACTTGGTGGAGTTGTGAGTTCCATATTACACCAAATTGAATTAGCAATTTCTCATTTCATATTCGAGGCTTTTCCAGGCTCCAGACATCAAGCTTATCCTGCTCATGTCGATATTCACTGACAAACTTGAACCCACACTTTCTCAGTACCCCGGAGCTTCCAACATTCTGTGTCTCACAAAGAGCGAAGACCTTCTCCTGCTCCCCTGGTTGTGGACCCCCTTCAATGCTCCTTCTTGGAAGCTCCCACCACATTTTCAACAACATGTTTAGTGCTTCCGTCATATAGCCCTTGCCCCAAGACTCGGGGAGCAACGCATACCCGATCTCAGGAAAAGGGTCTACGGCACTGATACTCACAGAACCAATTAGCCGCTCCTGTGACTCTGGAATAGACTTATCCAAGATGGCATAATGAAATGAGCGGCCAATGACATCGGCTGGGCCCTGGGTGAATACTTTCGTCAACATCCATTGACGAGTTTCTTCAATGGATTTTAAAGGTATTTTAGGATGGCTACTTCAGTTAGCCTGAAAATTCTGGTTGAATTGAGATCTAAAAAAAAATTAAAACATACTTCATCTGCGCAACTTCCCATCGGGAACGAACTGCGAACAATGCGGGGGCATCAGAGTCGGTGACTGGACGGAGGCGGAGTCGGTCGCTTTCAAATGAAGGTCCCGGTGACGGAACAATCACATAAACCGGTTGCTCAGGCAGAGTGTCCATGTTTGGTATGTATTTTGCTTGAATAAATTGAAGGGAAAAGAAAAGAGAAAGAGAAAGACACGTGAAGATGAAGATGTAGTCAAGGAAGCGGATACGAAGGTGAAGCGGGAACTTCTAATTGGTCATAAATCCCCGTATGGCTAGGCAAGTCTCGGACCCCGATTGAATCATCGTTGTTCGACTTTGTTTTGAATATAATAGATATTGGGAAGGTAGACAGAATGATCGAATTGGCTGGTTGATACAGGTGAGTGATTTCGGAGAAAAGCAGAAAATAAAGCCCCTTGAGCGCAATGAAGACATTCCCCGAATCACGCATTTCAACCCGTCCGTCTATACCTATATAGACATAGGACTTGGGGATTTAGGATAATCCGCAGGATGACTCACTGGGTTTTGCGCACTTACTTGTATAGTTACACTTGGAAGGTAGTTAGAGCAAATCAACATGCCAATAAGCCGGGATCTCAAAGTAAGACAAGTTAAGCTTAGATCGACCGCACTCTTCTATTAACTTAGTGGCAGCCAATTATGGACATTCCAGCTTCTCAAACTTTGAATATTCCAATCCAGGCTATTGACTAGACAATCCGCCGTGCCATGATCCTGGCTTGTGTGGCCTAGGGCATGGCATTGGTCACGATAGAGAAGTACAATCGGCTACTTAGAATTGAATTTCGCAGTCAAGACAATATAATTTCTTCCGTGTTACTCTATGGTGGCTGGGTTTCTCCAATCATTTTGCTATCTGCTGAATTCAAGGTTCTGTTCGTGGTAGGTTGCTATCTTGCGTAAGAGACTTTCATGCCGCCCTTTGATGCTAGGTAGTAGATATATACTTAATGTAATTCTGCTAAACTTGTCAGCAATGCGAGCCACTCGGCTGTCGGAGTGTCCCGATATGTACCGTCGCTTTTGGCGTCGTATGCTCTTTTGCTCCCCCATTGACCATCCCCATTCTTGTCAAGTCTTCATAACGAAAATAATTCTCACGGAATCATCAACATAGAAGTATTCCCTCGTTATCAAGACATTTGCCTATCCACTGGTTGACATACATTCGGCGGCGTTGATTGGTTGGTGCCTTATCTTCTCCGCGTCACGGGGTTGACCCCACAGTTTATGTATCCGTCATGATTCCACTCTCTTTTCGTATCATTTTTGCTTCTTTCATACGAGACACAGTACTGAGAAGTGACCATGGAACACCGCAAACGCGCGGCCCGAGCGTACGTGATGATACTTCCACAATGACAAGGTCGTCTAACATAACTCAGATGCGACGAGTGCCGAAGGCTGAAGGAGAAGTGTGAAGGTGGAGCTCCTTGCAGGAGGTGCTCTCATTTTCAGAGAGTATGTACATTTAAAGGCCTAGTGCCGAGGAATCGCGAGTTCCGTCCTTACATTCCGAGGTAAGATGCCATCACCTTCTACCACCGGGCCTATCTAACAATGATTAGAGACAGAGCTGGGAGATCTGAATTTTCAGAATTGATCGAGCGCTCCAGGTATATGGAGCGTATTCTAAAGCGTACGATAGAAGGGATCTCTTTCGATACGAAGAGTCTGGGAAAATTGGCAGAAGCGCTTGACGCCGATTACCATGCTAAAGGCGCAATTTCCTCCGACCCTAAAGATGTTGAGGGATTGGGTATAGACGATGAGGCGTGCACAATGGAACCAGTTGGTGATACCACAACCCGTTCGTCAACCAATCTCGATTTTTATGGTGGATGCAAGCTAACTGACTTCAGACTTTTCCGGGGAATTCTCATATTGGAATTTCTCCATGCGCATTAAAAGTCACATACAAAGCCAAATAAAGGAGCCGGATACCCGAGTATGGATTTTATTCTAAACGTCACTGTATCTCGTTGGCTGATACAGAAAGCACTTGCAGGATCCTGATCATGCCTCGAACTTTCCACGCGCCCATCACTTACGCCCCTCAAATAATCACCTATCGGCGGCAATCGCATCTTTCCCTCCTCCATACATTGCAAATTTTTTGGTGAAACTATTCTTCAAGTACTCAGAGACCCATTACTTTTTAGTGCAGGAATCATGGGTCCTTTCAAAAGTCGACCTATTATACAATAACCCCGACTGCTTTTCCCACAAAGGAGCAGAAGTCACCGTTGCCATTGTTTTGTCGGTCTTTGCTATTGGAACACAATACGCCCATCTTGAATCCCTTGGGCAAGCTTCGACGAGCGCGTCGGGATCAACATTTTCAGAGGATGATGTTGGCGCTACGTTCTATCAACACGCTATCCGCCTACTACCTGAGATCATTGAGATCGCCTCACTCGAAAGTGTACAGGCTTGCTTACTTTTTGGCTATTATGCGCTGCCTGTTGATGCGTCTGGATTAGGATTCATATATATCAACCTTGCCATGCGCCTTGGAATGCAGAATGGTATGCATCGGAAATGCAAAAACGATGCATTTACCCGCTCCATGGTTGAAACTCGCAATCGGGTTTGGTGGACGGCGTATGTATTGGAGAGGTACAGTTTGTCTACATGCAAGATATGCACAGTTTTTGCTAATGTCAATTCAGGAAGATATCTATCTTTCACGGTCGACCTCTTTCGGTACTTCGGTCGGATGTGGATGCAAATATTCCTCTCTATCAAGCAATTTTCCAGCCACAAGACTACCCAGAAAGCATCACTCGAGCAGAGATCTCAATTCAGCTAGTTCATTTCCTTGAAGACACCTTCCATGAGATGTGAGATATTGATCGTCCCCTCCTTGTTGGCACCTCGGGGCTAACAAATATTAGCAACCTCCTGCGAAATTGCCAAAAACAAGAGATATCCAAGATTGTCTCCCGCTTGCTAACAACAAAAAGCGCTCTGATGAATTGGTGGGACTCTCTCCCAAATGATGTCGTGACCGTACGAGCCCAGCAACCCGAACATATTCGCTCCGCGATGCACCTAAAACTAGAATACTGTCTGGTGCGAATGTTCGTCGGCAGACCATTCCTCCTCAAACAAGAAAACCCACACTCCAACACAAGCTCACCAGCCCATTCCGACGCAATCGAGAATCAGCCCCGGTCAACCGATGGTGGATCCCAGAAATCCATAACAGGTCGAAATGACCTGATCCATGACTGTATCCAAGCAGCCACCGAAGCACTGGATATCTGTCAAATATTGCGAGATAGCGGGCTAGGCCTTGCACGAGCCTCGTATATCGAGTACAGTTCGTGCCGGGCCTCACTGCTCGTGTTAATCGCCTACTCGATCCAGAATTTCTCCGAACAATTCCGCAAGTCGTTATATGAAGGCTTGGATATGATCCGGGAAATGTCTGCTGCTGGCGAATCTGCTCGGTCGGAGGTGTCGTTGATCGAGTCGCTGGAACGTGCTCTTGCTCGGCTGCATACTGGAGCGCAAAATGCGCGTCAGGGCGAAAGCCAGCAGAATACAATGTCTGATTACGAGGCTTTCAAGAACTGGGGAGCACATTTGGCAGAGAAAGGAAAACCGGGTTACTCTGGGTCAGCACCAGACCCTTCTCCTAGTCACGTTTCAACGGCGGCTTTACAAATTGGTGATATTACTGGCTTTAGTAACCACCAGGACTGCATGCCTGAACCTGACAATGACCTGTTCAATGCCTTTGATCCTATGATTCAAATGTCTATATTCGGCACCGAGAATCTATCACCGTCGGTTGGATGGCCGACCTACACCGAGGCGCAAGTGTTAGAGCATTTTCTAACAAACCCACACTATGGAGCAGGGTGAGAAACAGGAGGTGAAAGAGACTATGCCCTCATGAGTTATGCTTGATATTTCTGTCGATTTTGCAACCATATATCCCCGTTCGAGTCTACCATGTACAATATATTGAAAACAAATACAATCAAACCGAAGCAGCCACAATCCTCTCAGCCATATCGGGTAACGTATCCGCCATAACCTCCATCTTAGTATCAAAAATCTCCTCACAAGACTCCTGTTCATATATCGTACAATACGCACCCCGGAACCCAACCTTAACCGCAGCCGACACATCCCACATATGCGCAGCGGCAAACCACTTCACATCATCATCCGCAAACTTCGCCAGAGCAGGCCGATACGCCGCCAAAGCTGGTTTCGCTAGTCCTTGCGTATCACAGCTAATAAAGTTCTCAAGCGGCATATCAACACCAGCACGCTCGAAATACCCGCGAACACGCTTCGTATCGCCGGTCGTCAGACACCAAACGGTGAAACCGGCGTCTCTCAATTTGGCGAAACAATCTCTTGTTCCGGATCGGAGTTCCAGCTCTGAATATCCCTGCACACACTGGTCGCGCTCTGCGTCTGTCGCAAAGGTCCTTGGGGACTCGACTCCGCACATGTATAGAGATCGGTAGAAGAGGGCTGTGATAACTTCTTTGTAGGGCCGGTAGCGCTCTGAGATTGAGAGGAAGGTGAATTCGAGCTCGGCGGCTGTCATCCAGGCAAAGCCGAAGGAGCGGGCGGTGATGTTTTTTGCGAGGAGTTTTTCGCCGATGACGCGGTTGATACAGTTGTAGAACGCGTCGAAGGAGACACAAGTGCCGACGACATCGAAAACAACGTGTTTTTGGTTCGTCATGGTGGGAGGTGGTATTCGCAGGGAGGAGGTGTTGCGATCTTGTGGGCAACAGTAAGAAAGGGCTGGATATCAGATCGATAATAGACCTGGGAAAGATAGCGAGTCAATTGACTTCCGGTTATAAACTCGTCAAATGTGTCAATTGATCAATTGATATCTTCTTATCGCAGTCTCCCCGCACCGGCTTGCGTTCCATGGCTCACTTGCCTAGCGTACTATTCCTGATCGGGTAGGCCCGGCCCGGTACGCCCTCATTGGACCGCTCTAAGTTGTATCACTAAGGTGTATCACTCTGAGGTGTATCTTGATATGTAACCATGTCTTGCCGTGACACACTTGCCGATATCCTATCTTGACGCTCCATTTCCATGTCACTTCCTTTTACTATGTAGCGACTACAGAGATAGACAAGACAAGGCTTCTGGTCATTCAGATTCATTTGTCCTCTATAGGAGGAAATAGGAAACGAAATAGTAAGGTTACGATGTAGAATGCAGATTTAGAAAGGATGGAAAAGAATATCGATTCACTACAGAACACTAACAGTACAACAATTCAAGACCACAAGATATTAAGCTTGTTGAGACCCCGCTTGGGCTTGGGCTCCGGCTCAGGGTTATTCTGATAGCTTTCGATGAAAGGGCGAATGGGGATTTCCGCCAGCGGAATGATCTTGGTCTTCATCCAGAACTTGTAGGAAAAGTATACTATCACGATGAAGGGAAGGTTGAAGTATGAGGAGATGAACGTCTCAGTGCTCCAACGCCCGTTCATAAAGGTAGTAAATCCTCCTGTAAAGAAAAGAAGAATGAACACAACCAAAGAAACCCAAGTGGTGTAGGGCTGGAATGGTGCAGCCCACGGAAGCTCCGTGTGGCGGTCGATTCCCTGCTTCTTGCATCCGTAGAGGAATCGCAGGTAGACAACACAAATGCAGATCCAGTTGACCAAGGTGGAAATCGAGACGAGGTCTTGCAGCCATGTAAAGACATTGCTTGCTGAGCTGGACAGAGTCATATATCCCAGGGCCATGAATACGCCGTAAAGAGAGACAGCGACGTAAGGGATGCCGAAGCGATTGATACGCTTGAAAACGGCGGGTGCATGACCTTGAGATGCCATTCCGTAGAGAATACGAGATCCACCAAGCATGTTGGAGTTGCCCGAGGACCATGCTGAGGTGAGGACGACGGCGTTGATAATGGAGGGCACAACCTTGATACCGGCATCGCGAGCGGCAATCACAAATGGTGACTGGGCAGCGGTGCCTGTTGAGCCGAGCAGATCTTTATTAGTCGATGCGACGACCAGGCCGACCATGAAGATGGTGATCACGTAGAAGAGCAAAATCCGGATAAAGATGCGTCTGGCAGCCATGGGAATAGACTGGCGAGGGCAACGGGTTTCGGCAGCTGCGACAGTGATATTTTCGATTCCGGAATAGGCGTATAAAGCGTTGTCAAATGTTTTCCAGAATCCTAGGAATCTACCCAGCGCACCAGGAAGCCCTAAGTACTGAACCATAGGTCCATAAGGTGCTTTCCAGTAGGCGAAGCCAATGGATTTGTGGTTTGGGGCTCCACCACATGTAATCACCAGAGCCATGATGTTGATTCCAATTATGAGCATGATTTTCAAAATGGAAAAACCGAACTCCAGTTCTCCATATACTCGGACGAATATCAAAGCGGTACTCAGCATCAACAAACCAAAGATGGTGATCCAAATGGCGTTGTTGATAGTTGTCCAAAATTCGATAATAACGGCGGCAGCAACAATTTCGGAGGGAATCGAGACAATGTAGGAATATACTTGGTTCCATCCATTGGCGAACGCTAGAGCAGGATCACAGAAGATTTCCGCATATCGAATCACACCACCATTGAGAGGGGCCAAGGCACCCATTTCTCCAACACCCCATACGACACTCGAGACAGTGAGGCCAATGACGGTGTATGCAAGAAATGCACCCAGCGGGCCAGCATAGACAATTGCTCGTCCTGAACTGAGAAAGAGACCGGTGCCGACTGTGCCAGCGAGGGCAATCATCTGAATATGGCGCTGGTGCAGACCCTGCTTGAACTCATTGATCTCGTCCAACTGGCCAGCAGCGTTCTCCACATCGTGTGTTTTTCCCATTTCGGTCTCGTGCTTGGAGATATTCTTTTCGGAGGGCGTTAAGGCATCAATGCCATTATCGTTCCCAAATGTATAGATCGTAGAAGGTGACATACTTGATGAACGGAAATCAAGTTGACAAAGATTAATTACCGAAAATTAGGAGCCACACGTCAATTTTTGTACTTTTAGGCATGCTTCCGTTTCTACCCTGCACGGACCATAACCTTTAGAAGCTTATCAAGAGCTTATTTGAAATTGGCAGGATATCGTTGGTAGATGGAACCGGATCAATACCGGCATTATCGATAATGAAGTTTTAGCCCCAAAAGAGAGAGTTAAAAAACGTAAAAAGGATTCCAAGCGCTGAGGGCGCAAATGGTCCTCAAGTGCGGAGGTGGCCATCAGTGGATCCCGGTGAGTTGCCCTTTCGGGAAATATCGGCCCGGTCTTATCTTATCAGACCTGCAGGTCCGGTCACCGGCATAAACTCTATCTTCTATAAGACAACTGTAGCGAGCTTCTTTCACCATATACTCACCATGGCTATCTCAAACGGAACCACCGCTCCCACTGCCGGCACGTCCAAGTGTCTCCCGACCCATACCCCTGGCGAATGCTTCTGGCAAACAGCTCGTGATGAACTCAGTGACCATCGGTCGACTGAACAGCTACCCGAACACAGTGACATCGTGATCATAGGTGCAGGATATGCAGGTGTGAGTGCAGCGTACCATCTTGTCAAGGATGGCGACGCCTCCAAGTCTATCGCGATACTGGAAGCTCGGGGCGCGTGTTCGGGGGCAACTGGCCGCAACGGTGGCCACTGCAGACCTGATTTTTATGGCCACATCCTCACGTATATGGACCGGGCAGGCGATAGAGCAGGAGCAGAGATTGCCGAGTTTGAGATAGCCAATCTTCGTGCTCTGAAGAAGATTATCGAGCAAGAAAAGATTGATTGTGATTTTACTCTTGCGCGGTCAGTCGATGTCTGGTGTAACGAGGAGTCTGCCAAGAAAGCCAAGGTCGTCTATGATAGGATGGTCGCTGCAGACTTTGAGTACATGGAAGATGCTGTTTTCTATACCGGCGAGCAAGTCGAAGGGGTATGTGATTTTGTCATAGCTCAACTAAAAATATACTAACGTCCCCTAGATCTGCGGCGTCAAGGGTGCCAAGGCCTGCGCAAGCTTCACTGCCGGCACAATGTGGCCTTTCAAATTCATCATGCACCTCGTCAAGGACCTTCTTGCAGCAGGAGTAAACCTACAAACACATACTCCGGTCACCTCTATAACCTCGGACCCACAAGGTGGCTTCATTGTGGAGACACCTAGAGGCAAGATGCACGCAGGGAATGTGATTCACGCCAACAACGCCTATGTTTCAGGACTGCTCCCAGAATACGCTAAGAACATCATCCCCTGCAAGGGGATTTGCTGTCGCATCACCGTCCCCGAAGGAGTCACACCACCACTCCTCAACAACTCATATATCAACCGAGCAGAAGACAACACACTCTCGTATTTCGTCCCTCGAGCCGATGGCAGCATCATTGTGGGTGGCGCTGCGAACGTCTTCCGCCCGCACAAGAGCCAATGGTATGACAACGTAGACGATAGTGTCCTGATTGATTCCGCGAAAGACTACTATGACAACTACATGCAACGCACGTACCGCGGTTGGGAGGAGACTGGGGCTAAGGTTGACAAGATCTGGACTGGCGTCATGGGCTATTCATACGATTCTAATCCTCATATTGGACATGTTCCACAAAAGGAGGGTCAGTTCATTCTGGCTGGCTTTAACGGTCATGGTATGCCGGTGATTTGGCTGGCGGCGAAGGAACTTGCCAAGATGGTTTCTAAGGGTGTTTCTTTTGAGGATACTACCATGCCTCGCCTATTCCAGACAAGTCAGTTCCGTATTGATCGTGCACAGGCTGGAAGGGAAGAAGATGGTGATATTATTGGTACTGGTAGCTTTGCTGCGACTAGGCCTTGAGATGTGAAACCGCGAACATGTAATTTATGACCCACATAGAAACTTTTCTATTTCTTTTTTCCCTACTCCTGAGATTGTTAAGATTGATTCATGGTCCGAACCATGTCGAGAATGCTAGGCTATTTAGAAGAAAACTACAACAGGGGTCATAAATATGTGCATAGTGCCATGAAGTTAAGGACAGTTTACACGAAAGCCTTAAAACGAGTACACCATTTCATACAATTTTTTCGCCCTACTTTGGCCTCTCTTTCTTAACCTCCTTTTTACCCATTTTAAAGTGCTTTGGGTTAATCATATAGATTATATAAAGGTGGCAGTATAAAAAAACTTATCACCCCTGTTGTGTAAAATTATCGCAATAAATAATCTACGTCGAGAGCGCAATTCATGCCGTGGAAGTAAACCAGCAAGGCCAAGAAGAGCCTCGCGTCCTCGGCAGGTCGTGAACAATTATTCATTTGCTAATTCTGTGCAGACACTAAGGGCAACAAAGCATTTCAAATATACCACGCCTAGATGCATATAAAATCCCACACCCCACCTACAACGTCCAACAGCGAAAATGTTTGTGTGCGTACAGTCACAGGTTAGATGAGGTGCTTGGTCATTTGAGGAGCTTGCGAGGATTCGAGATTAGACTCGGCTGCAGCTGTGTGTTCCATTTAATTGAATCCCTTGTCTAGAGGGCAAGGCTGAAAAGCAAAGCACATGGGAGTTGATGATGACGGACTGGTCTTCTCCCATACCTGGGGCGGGTGACTATGAAAAGGTGATTTTTGTCCTTGGTATGATATATGCTTAGCTAGTCTTAGAGTGCTAGGTGTAACTATGTGATAATTGGCAAACTATCGCCGTCTTTAAATCCATTAGGAATTTCAAAAATCAGATAATTTCTCAGTCGAAAGTGACTTATAATATACATTGTACTACTCGCTAATTTTCTCTTCAAGCAGAAATGACCACAAGTTATCCGAACTTCAAAATCGCCACAATCTGCAACACGACTTCATCGTGTTAACTGAAATCAATCATTACGCTCAGTGCTGTACTTAGGAGCAGCTAGCACCGCTAGGAACATTCTCGCAGCTGTAAGTCTTGCCACCAGTTACAGTCACATCGGACCAGGTCCAGTCGGAGCAAGATCCGTCACCGCATTCAATTACAATGTTGTATCCATCGGAGTCAACAGCGTCGGTTCCGGTGATGTTCTCAATAGTGAGATCGGTGATAGGGATACCGGTGGAAGGGGTGCCGCCGTCGAGGTCACCACCATCATAGTTCTGCTCGATGAGAATTCCATAGCTGCGAATTACCATTAGCGTTTGTAATGATAAACAAGAAATTGTGTAGAGCTTACTCGGAAATGGAGCTCAGGGTAATGTCGCTGTATGTCACGCCCTTGATTGTCCCGGTCTCATCTTCCTTGGCCTTGATGCGAATACCTATAATTCTGGCGTTAGTCTTGGAATTTTCACAGGGTCAATAGATATCTTTTTCTCTTACCGTTAACAGAGTTCTTGACTGTAGATCCCTTGAAGGTGACAGTCTCAACGGTGTTGTCCGATCTTCCACCGACAGATCCAATGGAAAGACCATGGCCACCAGAGCAAACACCGTTCTCGAAAGTGATATCCTAGTAAAGATGTTAGCTCCAGAACTGGTAATAAGTTTTAGAATTATTTTGAGCACATACGGTTCCAGAGTTGACTGCAACACAGTCGTCTTGGTTGTAGACAGTGGCACCGGAGATGACCACATTGCTGCTAGAACCAATATCGAAGCCGTCGGTGTTGTGACCGCCGGCGGAGTCACCGGCCTCATTGTTGATGGTCATATCAGTGATAGTCAATCCATCACATCCGTTGATGCTGACCGCCTGAACGGGAGTGTTCTCAATATAGAGATCGGTAATGGTGGACGAGCTGAGATCGTGGGCGTAGAAGAACTTGGGCTTCGTCACGCCACCGTTGCTTCCCTCTCCGTCCCACCAGCGGGATCCGTCGGGGTTCAGCTTAGCGCCACTGGCACCCTGGATGTTGATTCCAGTGCCCTTGATTTGGAGGAGAGGACCATCCCATTCCTCGTATCCCCAAGTTGTCTCGCCCTCAAAGATAACCTATCATCATGTAGTTAGAATTAAGATTCAAAAAAGAGGAAGCATGCGTGAATGGTCATTCTCACAGTAGTCTCATCCTCTAGATCACTGAGATCGAGGGTTGTTCCGGAAGGCACAGCAACATCCGAGAGGACAATAGTTGAGCATGACTTTTGAGACTTGCTCGCACTCGCGGCACCACTGGATCCAGAGAAGGTGCAGCTGCTGGCCCTTTTGGCAAGGCTTGGAGCCTCAGTAATGGCGGGCTCGGCGACTGGGGATGCTATAGTGGACACTGCCAACGTAGCAAGTGCAAGGGACCCGAGAATTCTGGACATTGTGGTGCTTTTTTCTGGGAGTCCTGCGAGCTGTAGTCTTTGGATTTTTATCCTGGTGTTTGGATTTCCACGCCTTTATAACACATTTTCGATATATGGCCTCTGGTCTAGACTATCCCTCATCTATTTTATAAGGAGCGTTTTAGTATAAGCAGTAACATATGTTTTATCCTCCAATTGCTGGGGTCATCTCCTCTCTCTATGTCTCTCATTGGTGCACAATGACACTGTATAAGCTGAGGATAATTTCAAGCATCAGGGGCGTCATATTTTAGCGTATCCGGAGGATCTTTGTGAGGAAATAAACTAAGAACAGCCAATGGGAGGAATGTCTCCGCTGGGGTCAAACGTTCGATGTTTCTTGTCTCATGGCTAAGCAGTGCCACAATGCTTCGACATATGCGAGAGCTTCCAATTCGCAGAACTATTCGATAACCACTTCCGCGAACTACTCACCTGGATGACCTATCTCATGTATTTAGACGCCGATCCCGGGATGTATTTTTCCTACAAATTGTTTACCAAAGTCCTAAGTACAAACTAAAGCGACAACCATCCCAGCGCCACATTTCAACCTAGCTATAAACGACCTGTGTACTATACACCCGGCGTGAACGCGTCACACAGGATAACCCCTGTCTCCTTGACATTTTAGTATTCCGCCGCGTCAT